GACAGAGGAAGAGCTCAAGGAACACAATCTGCCTCTGGTATGTTTGCTCTGTCTTTTGTCTGTTCTTCTTACTGACCGCCTTTCTCAAACATAGGCATGTCATACATGTGTAGTGCAAAGAGAGGGAGCCATAGAGTGTGCAATAGTGGAGCCCAAGAACAAGGTGCTTTATGAGCACATGCAGAAAAATGATGTCACTGAGCGCACAATGGAGCACCTGCTTTGCATGCATCACAACCCACCTTTCAGTATTGGGATGATCACTGAGAGCGTTCATGTACTGAGTGAGGCTGGCCAGGTACACTTCACGCTTATTTATTTTTGTTGTTTTTGTCATTTCCTGTGATTGATTGCCACTCACGTGCAGATCATGTACCCACCAGTTGAATGGCGTCGGGCTCGTGTTGGTTGGGGGACGCTTGACTTTGTGTCCCCAACCAATGTAATACACAATCACTACAAGCACAAGGGGGACTTAAGCAAGGAGCACTTCCACTTCCAACAGAGTACAAGGCTCAAGCACCCATGCAACTGTAAACAATTTGAACAGTGCAAATGGTATGTCACCCCACAAACACCTTTTCAATAGAGCTTAACTTCTCTTTCTTCAGTTACATGCAGTACAGGGCCAGCACACAAGGACAAAGGCGGAAAGACTGCCAGCTCATCCTCCCCATTTTCTACATCAACACATTTGAGCAAAGTCAATCTAGAAACCAAAGCATCATCAGGATCTACATGTCCTTTGCCAACACATCAATGGAAGAAATGGAGATCACCAAGTCAAGATACCTCCTCTGCCTCATGCCACAGAACATCAACCTCTTCAACGCCTTGCAGATCATCATCATCACACCAATGCGCCTGCTCAAGCACAGATACGACATCTACTTCAAGGCCAAGGGAGCAACACGCCACTGCTACAGGTCCATGTACTGCATCCTTGGCAATCATCCCTCTCAAGCACTGTGCACCGGTACATCTGCTTTCTGTTTCTTCTCTTTTTGTGCATCTCAACTCAACACATGTTGCAGGGTTGGCACAGGGTGGCTGGGTGTGCTGTCAGTACTGCCACAACCTCTCAGCCTTCTTCCACAAGGGGGAATGGCCAATCAAGGTTGGCAGCCAAACGGTGCACCAGCCCCAGCAACACAGAAACTACTGGAGCGTCTACAACACACACATTGCAACACTCAAGGCCTCCAACAAAGGAGTCCATGGCAAGGTTGGCCCCACCAACAAGAAAATAAAGGTGCATGGCTGGGGTCAACAGGTAAGCCCATTCTGGGATCTCCTCTGGATGTGGGAATCATTTTACAACTGCTTCAGAATCTGCTTGCTGCACATCAAGCACCTGGGCCTTCTCAAGGTGCATGGACCCAATGGAAGGATCAAAACAATTCATTAACTTCTTTGCTGTTCACAGAGACACTTGCTGTACACCAGCATCACAAATGAGCTTGACAAAGTGATCAACGAGGAGTTCAAGGCGTTCCCACCATTCCCAGGAAAGCAGAGTTTCACCAACCAGACACAGATCATTCAGTGAAACACAAATGTACATCTTCCCTTTTCTTTCTTCCCTGTTCTTCCACACAACACTCATCACCTACAACACAACACAACATGTAGGGAAAGGTCACAGTGGCAGGGCTGACAGGAGGCGAAATGGACAGTTTCCTGCAGATCACTGAGCTTCTCTTCAAGGAGTGGGTGAGCAATCCACAGGAGTGCAAGTGTTGGCGTCTCCACATCAACATAGTCCACCTCCTGCAGCAAGAGACCTACAACGCCATCAACCTCAACAACCTCAAGATGATGACCAAGAGGTGGAAGTATCTCATGGTCAAAATCTACAGCGGCATTGCCAAGCAGCGGCAAGCGACACAGTCAAAGCGGTCACAGACAGGCGCAGCCAGCAACACAACAACAAGCGGCAAGAAGCTACTCAGCTTTAAATTTCCAAACTTCAAGGTCACACAACACTGGTCAGAGCTGATCCACTTCCTCGGGCCCCCATGGGTGCAAGACACACGCCTATGGGAGCAGCGGCACCTCACAGCGAAGATGACAGCGCATCGGACCAACCAGATCAACACCGAACTCACAATTCTTGTGAAGGTACAGTTTGGTTGCATGCAAGTTTTTTACATTTTCTTACCTCTTGTTTTGTTCAGACGCACCAAAAGGACGCTGTAATTCGCCACCTGGCCTATGCTGGGCTGTCCCCCGTGAGCTCTGTGCAGGGTTCATGGAAGGAACCCTACACGCTCAGTGTTTGTGGTGAAATGACCAGCATCATGAGAGACCGCAAGTGGAACCTCTTTGACGCCGTCAAACGTGAGCTGGGCGAAGGCGTCAAGATAGCCGATGAGCTCACTTCACACAAGTTGGCACACTACTATGGCCACTTCCTTCAACCGGGTGATGGGATCGCCTTGTGTGTTCCAGAAGAGTATCCAAATGTATGATCTCATTCAGCAGTGTTTTCACTTCTCTCATCCTTGGTGTTTAACTCTTTTAAAATGTAGATACATTTCATTGTCAACAATTCAAGACACACCATACTCAACAAGTCCAAGACGCAGCGCGTCATGATCAGAAGGATATCTCAGCTCCTTCGAATCACCTGCGACAACAAGGTGAGGCCGTGGGTCGAGCTCGAGCTTGGCGATCTGCGCGGCGTCAGTGATGGCTTTCTTGAGTTCGGGCTCAGCCAGCGACGTTTCTACCTTCCCTTTGGGTGGAACGGATGGACCGTCGCCAAGCGCGTCCACCTCGTGCCCTACAAAGCGGGTATGATATATAACCATCGCGTTAGGTGGCACCTGGGCGACAGGTGGGCAACACCAAGCGTCAATGACTGAGCAGCGGCGCGGAGCACGACCAGCGGCGCACAGCACGACCAAGCGCGACCAGCGGCAAGGTGGACACGAGGTGGACACGAGGTGGACACAAGGTGGACAGGAGGTGGACAGCGAAGATGGAACCTTCCGCCTTTTTCAATACAACCATTTGACAAACTGATGTGGACAAAGGTGACCTCCATGTGCTGATTTTTGGTGGTTTTTTCCGTCCGTGGGAAGGTGGGAAAGAGCTTGCTTTTTTTCCACCTAACGTCCCGGCAGTGTGCCAGGAGTAACATCCCGAGAGGAGCAGAAGTGGGCGGGGGGGGTCTCCACTTCTACTGTGTTACTACTTTTAAATTGCACTCCAAGTGTTACCTGGTATGCACTTCTACTCTCAGATGTTACCAGAACGACCTTCTACAACTCCGGTGCTCTCCAATTAATGATGCTTCGGGATAACCAAGAATTATAACGTGAAGGGGAAGAATAGTATCGTCTTATTCTTCTTGGTTATCCTATTCCCCTTCTCTCCCCAGTCATGCCTTCACTGCTTGCGCTGCTGCTCGCCCTCTCTGCCCTCTCCCTGCTGGCCGGAGCCGCCACAGCGGCCTCGGCGGCCGATCTTTCGCCCTCGCCCTCACCCTCGCCCAGTCCCCTCCCTTGGGGTACCTGCCGCAGCACCATCGGGATGACCTACAAGGCGAATATCACCAGTGGCGGCAGCGGGGCGGAGTTCTCCGACGCGCTGGCCCGACGCTACACGGAGCTGGTCGCCAACAGCACCAGCCAGTGGTTCGACATCGTCATGGACTACTACCGCGTGATGGCCGACATGAGCGTGTCGTTCGCGTACGCGGTCTCCTACGGGGCGGAAAACAGCGCTGTTATCAGTTCCAACATGAACGCGCTCAGCCTCCGCGCTCTGCGTGATGTCATCACCGAGGTCGACTCCACTTCAGCCAGTTTGGCCATCGACCATAGAGAGAACAAGTGTTACCCGCCCCAAGGCGAACTCTCCCCATCTCCCTCTCCGTCGTCATCAACCTCACCTTCACCATCAGCAAGCAAGTCATCATCAACCTCGCCTTCACCATCAGTGAGTGAGTCGTCATCCCTGTTCATCCCACCACACGCCCACTACATGCTACTCACGCTCAAGGAGGCGCTCAGTTGGGCGTAACAAGGAAGACAGCCCCCTAAATAAATACTCCGACGAGAAGTGCATGCACTGGCGTTGTGGCGCGGACAGGGGTTTCTTGGTGTCGCGAACGATGTTGAAGGACGAGGACGAGCCGGTGCCCCGTGGGGAGGGAGAGGAGGGGAGAAGGAGGACGAATGCGAGGAGGAGGAGAAGGAGGACGAATGCGAGGAGGGGGAGGACGAAAGCGAGGAGGATGACTACGACGACGACGCGACCCTGAGCGAGGATGAAGCCGAAGATGGCGAGAAACTGCGCTTGGACATTCCAGCCGAAGCATTTACCCAGCCGTGGTCTCTCGCATCTGCTTCAGATCGTCGAGAAACGACAAATTTGTCAAACTCTCGTGGATGCTCATCTTTATTAAAATCTTTCCTTCCCTCTCCACAGAAACAGCGCGGACAACACGTCGACCACATCCGCGCTTTTTCGAACGATACTCAAGCGCTTCCCCTTTCCGGCGTATTATGACAGGTGGGCATCCATCAAGACCACGATCAATCAATGCTGGAACTTGGAGCCCATCTCGGCGGCCAAATGCAAGGTCGAGACGCGTCTCATCCGCCTACTAGAGCAGTGGAAACCTCGGGTGGTGAGCGACGAGGAGATCAGAGTGCTCGTATACAAGATCTACGTCAGGCTGTGGGAGGTACAAACAATGAGTCGTCTTAGGGTGTGAGGGGTTGGGTCAACTAACCGTATTCGTCATGCGACAGGCGCAGGCCGATGGGACGAAGACTCTCTGGATACAAGCACCGGGGGTTCGATGTGCGCTCGACCAGTTCTTCATTCATGTCGGGTTGCCGCCATTCCACTGGAAGGACGCCCAGACCAAACGGAGGACGTGCCGATGTCCGGCCTGCCTGTCCTGCCGCGCCGAGTCCAGCAAGTGGCGGGGCCAAAATTACCTCCTCTACCAGAGCCTAATCGATAACGAGGACCTGGGCGAAATGATCCGGACATATCAGCGCCGAGCGCTGATCGTCGCTGCTTTCCCGGGCAAGAAGCAGCAGGACATCGATGCGATGTGCGGCCAGTGCGACGACTTCAAGGTAACCGACGTGTCCCGAGAAGCATCTACACGTGGCTGTCCATCATGTGGTAACCAAGCCGAGAGCCGACGCAGCCATTGCACAGCGACTCAAGGGGTTCTGCGAGTTTGTCGAAGACGATCTCAAGGGGAAAATCATCGAATACGTGGAAGCCACCGCTGCGCTTTTGCGCATGAGGAAGCAATTGTCCAACTCCGTTACACGTACGTACAGCCTTTCTTTTCTGTCCGTTACAACACATTGCCTGAGAAACCGCTAACAAATGTCCACAACCAGCCAAAAAGAAACTGGCGAAGTTGATGCTGGAGAAGCGCAAAGTGACGTTGTCTCAAGCCAACAGGGCAGAGAGGCTAATGGACGGAGAAAGTTTGCCACACACATACGCCGACTACCGCGAGGCATGCTTGGCTGTGATAAGTACCCGACAACCGATCGAGGACTGCACCATGACTGGCTACCAAAAGGTGCACCTAGGTACGCCTTCCAGACTTGCTCGGTGGATAAAGTGGACTTTTTTAACTAACGCTGTGGTTCCCCAGTTCACAAAACCAAAGCCGAGAGGACGAAGAACCGAAAAGAAAACGTTGATCTCAGGTCGTTTGTCAGAGTGTTACGCCAATACGGCTCCGTCGCGTTCCAACAGCCACGGCAAGTCTCCCGGTAAGAGATCGTCCCCAACCAAGCCCAAGACCCCGTCGCCGAAGAGGAGCAGAGCAGAGGGCGCAGGTACCCATTATTCGCCAACTGTATCCGCCCACAACCACTCGACAAAGAGGTGTCTAATACCACCAAAGACACACCAACAGTCACACCTACAGCGTCAGCGACAACTCAATCAACTCCATCCGCTCTACCCGCCCCCAAGCCTTCGACCACGAAGGGATCAACTCAATCACGTTCTACCCGCACCCGCAAGCCTTCGACCAAGAAGGGATCGTCCGCGAGCAATTCGACCAAGAAGGGAAAAGGTAGTACGAAGAAGCAAGCCTAGAGAAAGAAATGCGTGCAGTGTGGCCAATCGGCTGAACGGACTTTGCTCACGCACCATGATGCCGTCTTTTCATCAACAGATGTAGCGTTGTTCTTATCTTTATAAAGCGAACTGTTGCCTTTGGTTATGCTATGCAGTGTTGTGATGGCGGTTGGTCGAGAGGAAGAGGAGGAGGTTTACGCTTCGACCGGAGAGGGAGTATCAGCGCTTGTTGACGATCCACCATGGAGAAGGTACGCTCGGAGGCCACAGAGGTGGCGGTCACCGAGAGGTAACGACAGGCGAGGGAAGCGAGAGGGGGGAACGGACTCGTGGTCCCTCCACCAGGCGAGTGGATCGAGCAGGCGGGGGCGCCCGTCGGCTTGGGGAGCAAGGCACATGGGCACAGAGGGCTCGCGACAGCAACAGCGCTCCAATTCGTCCGCAGGCTGAGTCTGTCCTGAAGGCACGACAGCCTCCGTGCCGAAAATGTCCTGCATGTCGTGCCGGTACTAGGCGTTTGTTGGCGTCGATGAGTTCGTGGGCGTCACCTCGTGGCGTTTGTGGCGATTTACGGAAACTCCAATCGACAAGCAGCACACCGAAAGGTGGTTCAGGAGTAAGAGAGGAGAGTGAGAATGTTGTGGTGCCTGGGGTCCGCGGCCGATTGAGTGAGGCGGCACGGGAAACGGCTCTGCCAATCATGTCCTGTCGCTTGCGGGGGTCGGACACAAAGTACAAGGGAGAGGAGGAGGTCCGAGGCGTTGGCGTCGAGGATGTTCCATCGGAGGGTGAGGTCAGGGGACGCGTCCTCTTGAAGCCGGCGACGACGGGTGTGTCTTGGTCATCGGGGATGGGGAGGTGGCTATAAAACGGCCAATTTATTTCTTGACTTTCCGTCGGTTCTCCCGCGAAGGGTAAACGCTGCTTGCGGCCTGTTGTGCAGGCGCTGGCACATTACCACGGCGCAAGTCTTCCTGCAGGTGGCGAATCATGCTTTCCAGAGTTGCGATGTCTTTCGTCCACTTCGGGTAGCGTTCTTGTTGCGGCAGTGAGCAGAGACCAGCAAGCGTGGCCGCAGCCTTCGCCAATGTATTCTGGACGGTGTGGTCTTGGTTGGACATCTTCTTGTCGAAGCAGTGGCACAAAAGGGGCTTGGGTAATTTATACTGCGGACGGCAGGAAAGTTCAGAACAACGCGTGGTCGTTGAATGGGGAACAACAAAACCTTTCCGGGTTTTCGTTCAAGAGACACTGTGGCGCCACAGACTTGAGTGCAGTTGCCATCCTTCGAATGCCAGTGCGGGGTGTCGACCTAGCCTATGCTATGAAGGTCGGAACGGCAGAGTAGCCCGGCTCGGTCGCGCCACCACCCAAGAAAAATTGAAGACGGAGATGATGGGCAGGCGTGGCAGCGCACTCTGCCGAGGTGAGGTCGGGCGGGATGGCTTGCGGAGGCGGCGAGGCAGCCCTCTCGGCTTCATTTGCAGCGCGGGACAAGCAGCGCAAGGAGCTTCTACGACATGCTCGACGACGAGGTGATCGAGTTCGTCAAACTGGCGGCCGTACGTGGTCACCGGGCAAGCGGAGGAAGGTTTGCCCGAAGCCCATCCCCGCCGGCATCATGTTCTACGCGCTTAAGTCATTTAGAACGCCTTGGGAGATGTTACATGGATGGGCGTCGTCTCCACCACACTTCCCACCGACCTCTTGCTACCGAATGCCTCGTCGGGAGCGGGGGAGCGCGCCGAGGCCCTGGTTTGGCCAAGGTGAACTCGCGAAAAGACACTCCTGACGACGACCTCCCTTTCGAGGACTGGCTGCCGAAAGCACCCGACGCGTCAGACGAGATTGCTGTGGCTGGTGGCGTGGGGCTGTCAACGGGCCTATTCGGTTCGCTCCAGGAGTATGATTCGCTGTTGGACTACGTCGGCGGTCTGCCCTCCTCGACGCGGTGGACCTCGCGGCTCTCTCCTTCACGCGAGAGGGTGAGGCGCACCATAGGCCGAGGGATGCGAGAAGGCGCTGCAGGGGGTTGGCGCCTTTGGCGGAAATGGCACAGGCCACCTCCGCGAAGCGCTACTACTACAAGAGTGGGAACCGTCGAGACCCTTGTTGTTCGCCTTAGTCACCCTGCCATACAATGGCCGACCAACGCGTCATCGACCTCGTCCTGAACCACGACCTCATAACCTGGACGGCGCGTTTGAGGAGAGGGCACCAGGCCAACATCGCCAATGACCAAGAGCACCACTGGCAAAACTACAGGATCGGCGGCGAGAAGGACAGCGACGGCCTGTACAGCATCGTCAACATCCGCATCGCGGGCGAGTGGTACTCCAAGTTCCTCCACGACCACGAGAAGACGGACGACTTTGACGCTTTGGTGGCCTCCACCAAGAGTTACTTGTTGTATGTGCACGGGGCCGTCTGATTGCTCTTGCCCTTCCCGATCCTCGCATAAAGACCTGTAGACGTGGGAGACAAAGGTTCTGCGCATTGCAAGAGAGCACCGTAGCATATCTCGTCCCCCCAACGAGGCTGCCGACCTCGACGTCGGCGCCACTGTCAAGTCGCTACACAAGCCCGTCGGCCAACCACTCTACGAACTCATCCAGGTCAACATCCCAAATTGGACCTCATTCTGAGCCTCGACAATGCCGCAAGATCACCTTGCGGGCCAGAACTCTGCCGACGAGGATGAGTGCGAGTGGGTAACAGGGAAACAGGGAAACAGGGAATGTCTTTCATGCTATGTGCTCTGAGCCGTGGCGGGCTATTTGAACATCGGACACCCAATCCCCCCTCACTCTCTGGCCTTCGGAATTGCTTGTTGGCGTCAAAGGCCGAAAACACTACCACTTCCCTAACCCTGGGCTTGCTTAATAAGTGCGACGGAGACGGCGCCTCGCAGAATCTATCCGAGCCATCGTTTCCCTTCAGATGATCAATGAAAGCGACCCACCCGCCGGGGGCTTACTGTTCGTCCGTCCACCTCTCTCGTCTGCTCTGGTGCGCACCATGGCGGGGGCGAGAGACTTTAGGATGGGCCTGGTGGTTGCGCGTGTCGCGGAAAGATGGTCGGTCGCTTGCCGCGTGGCCAAGAGGAAGGCAGGCGGCTGCCATAAGAAGAACTCTCGCTCTCCGCGCCTCATAGTCCTACTAAACCCTCGCCACCATGAGCACCCATACCGAGAACTCCCGCTGCTCGATTCCCAATCAGATTGGTAGAAAGGAACCCGTCGCCTCCGACGGCGACGCAGACGCAATCGGGTTTGGCTTGGATGAGGCCCTACAAGGACCTGTTCAAGGAGGCCATCGACCACGTCGCGACATCTATCAGTATAAGGGCCGAGGCTAAAGTGCGCAGGATCTTGACGGCGCGCCTCGTGGGTGCGGACCCGGCCCAAGGCAACGCCACTGCCGAACAGCAGCAACAGTCCGACCTAGCCGACGTGTCGATCCTGTCGGCGGGCGGTTCGCGTGCTGACGGACCACTTGGTCAAGGAAACCGTCGACAAGTTTACAAAGTGCATCTCAGTCAAAGCCGAGGCGCTCCCTCTTGGCTGAACATGCCGCGGCGGCCACGTCTGTCGCCAGGCCGTACGTCGACGGTGCTGCTCAGGCGGCGTGCAGCAGCGCTCCACCGCCGTCCAGCGGCACGCTGACTCTCTCGATCAACGATGAGAATGCGTTGCTGCTGCCGTCGAAGTTGTCGTCGTCGCGTCTGTCTACGGTTGCCTTCGACCACCAGAACAACCCTCGCTTGATTGGCCGCTACCTGCGTCCGGAGGTGGCCCACTGGGAGGAGGCCTTCGTGATCACGTCACAGAACGTGGCTTTCAAGGGTCTCCTGGAGACTTGCGCGCCTCGCATCCACACGATCACCCGGTCGCGTCCGGCCCCTGCAACACCGGCGGTCTCGACACACTGCGAATACCAGGTGCACACCACGCCGGGGCTGGCTCGCAACATCGCCAATGCCGATCGGCTCAACTTGGACGTGTTCATCGTGCTGGGAGTCGAGGCAGAGGTGCCCATGGCCCGATGCCAGGGCGACTTTGTGAAGCACGCCGTCGGCGACGCGGCCCACCACGTCAGGCTGCGTACCTACTACGACCCCGAAGATCCCATCCTTGCGAAGTTGAGCCTGTCGGGTTTGGCTGTCCTCACCAGGGAACAACAAGCCCCCGGAGATGGCCGCCTGCTAGGGCTCCTCTTCTTCTGAATGTCATTGTACTTCTTGGATGTACAATAGAGAAACCGTCCTCCTTCGCCCCCATGTGTTCCGTTTGTGTCCCGTAGACTCTGCTCCCTTGTACCTCGTGGCCATGACTTTGAACGCAACCAGCGGCTCCTCTGCGCGAAGAATAGCGACGGCGTCGCCATTCCTCAGTGTCACGAGAGATTGTGGTTGCCAACAAGAAGGAAAGTGGCGGGACACGTCCGGCATGCGCTCGCCGTTCATAATTCGTGTTTAGCACACCACACACCCACTCACCCACGCCAATGACCTACCGCATAACAGCCGAACAGCGCAACTCCCTCTCCGAGGTGATAGGGCCAAATCGGTTGCTCCCTGAGAACGCCGATGCGTTCTTCACCCTCCTGGAGTCGTGGTGCAACGACACCCACTGGAGAGCGGAGACGTGCGATATGGTGCGCTCCTTCATCGCGGACGGGATGGGGTTCATGCTCCAGAGGCTCTTTCGCGATCAGTACGGCCAACATCCCGAGTTCGACCGCGTGACGCGCGGGCAGACCTACCACCGTCAGCCAAGCCTGGCCGAGATCGAAGAGCTCAGCGCGCGCATGAGGTTCGCCGTCGAACAGGGCGGCAGTGCCCTAAGCATCCTGGAGGAATTCAAACGGAAGAACCCCCACTACAACTCGACGCTCAGGCCCGTTACAGATCTCGCCACACAGACCCACGTCATCAAGGACGACGGCATTATCCTCTTCCCCCGACACTTTTGATGACCCCTCCTCGACAACCAAATGTTGTGCCAACACACCACAAACCAAAGAGAGATGTTCCGTTCTTTACTCTGGGCCATAAATTACGCACTTTATGCTGGCGTACGACTGCCGCGGGTAGCAACAAAGTTTCTCGATGTGTTTAACGACAAATGGTGTCATGGGTAATGGTGTAACCCGCTGTGGGCTTCGGCGACGCCCACGTAGGCTTTCAAACCAGCGTCCCGCCCGACAGTGCAACTTTGCAGACCGATGTTGGTGGTGTGGAGAGGGGATTGTGTGTTTATCCTGGCTTTAGTTCAGGTGGGGTTTCTTTCCACAAAGAGAGGCGAGTGGGGGGAAGAGGGAGCGCGACGCCGCCATCAATGCGATCCGCGGTTTTCGTCGTGGGCGCGGAGGAACTTGGCCGCAAACTGTAGAAACAAACAGTGGTGCTTCTTTGGCACGGTGTCTTCCCACCCTTGCTCCTTGGACTCGCCGGACAGGTGGCAGGCGATCTTCTCGATCTTCTTGAGGATTGAGTCGCGGCCCTGGGTGCCTGTGGCGAGGGCCAGTTCCACGATGAGGTCGGTGCTCCAGGGTGCGACCCACGGCGTGGGATCGGCGATGACCCTGTCCCACACATTGTCCATGCCTGCCGGCGACAGGTGCTGCCCCGTTACCTGGCAGTAGATGATGGTGAAGCGACCCCCCAGGGTCGCCAGGTTGGGTCTCAGTAGCAGAGCGTCACGGTTGGCGTAAAGGGCGCGGTGGAGTCCACCGAAGAAAGCGTTCCAAATCGCCCTTCGGTTTCCTTCTTCTTCGGGCGTTGCGTCGTCCTGATTGCTGAGTTCGCGGATGTCGTCCACCCACAGCCACAGGAAGGTGGTGATGTGGTCGCGGACGTCGCTGCCATCGGGGGAAGATGTCAGCGCCGGCACGATGATCTCACCGATGACGTAGAGTGTCTCTTGCCAGGTGAACTTGTGCGCTGGCAGACATTTGCGGACGACCGATAGCCAAGTTCCCTCCGCAGACGCATGGTCGTGGTCGTGTCGCAGACCAGACTGCTAATGATGCGGCTCGCCGCTTCTTGGATGACGCGGTTGGAACTTGTCGCTTCTTGGATGGCCCCTTAGACGAAGAGGTAAGAGTAGGTGGGAGGGCTTGTGTGGCAGACATGTGAATAGGCCCTTCCACGCCGCGAGGAGGTCGACGACGGGGTCGGCCTGGGCAGCGGCGTGCATTGTCGCGCCAAGGTGGCGATTAATGGATATCGTCCCCTCTTTTGAAGCAGGTGTCCTCGACATCTTCCCACGCTGAGGAGGCAAAGAGGACCACACAGCATGCGGCCACATTAATCAGTCGTTTCCGGCGTGGCTGGGCAGCGCGCGTACCAATCTTGTCGGCCGACTCCCGTGAGCACGACCGGGCCAAAACCAAGCGGACCGCACTATCTGAGATCCCAAGCGGCGCAAATAGGTTGTGGGGGGAAATGACACCACCCAAGCCCAGTAGAACATCCACCCAGGCACTGCTCGACCGCCGACCGAATTGGTAGGAAGGAATCGGCCGACACAACCGGGTTTGGTCTGGATGAGGCCCTGCAACCCCTCGGGGCGTTTGCAGATGGGCGTGGCGCGGACATTCGCATCCGCTCGTACGGCCAGCCCAAGGACAGTGAGGGCTATGTTGTGCTCACTCTGGACGACCTTCCTTCGTGGATCTCTGCTCGCAACGCTGTAGACGGACCTTTGACGATTCGTTAGCAACAAGAGCCCCCCTCCAACTATTTGGATGTTAGCAGGACTGGGCCGAGGCCAAGTGCAGTAGGGACTTGTGGAGTGTGCTTTATGATGGCGTGTGGGCACTAGTGCAGCAGCAAAGTTGCTCGATGTGCGTGACAATATCGCTCACGGCTTTCATATCGGATTTGAAGGTGTGGAGCTCGAGCCCGCACTCTGTTGCCAGGTAGGCCTTGAGTTTGTTGTCCATGGCCCTCGCCTCTGCTTCGCTCTGGTAGCGCCCCGTGGTCTCGTAGGGGAAGTCGCCGCGTTCGAGGAGGATGTTGATGTTGGTGTGGTTGGAGTAGCGGCGCATGATGGCGGCGTGGGTCTTGGTCACGTCCGAGGTGTTGTCTGGGTTGAAGCGGTTGTAGTAGAGGCCGTGCGCGAGAGCGCCGTCGGTCACGATGAACTTGACGCAGCCCTTGAGCGCGTCAAAGAGGTCGGCCTGCTTGGACGAGACCATGTACTGGTTGTTGAGCTCCTCGAAGCGCTTGAGGTACACAAGTTTCTTGGCGTACTCGCCGACCCACTCGGCCGTGTGGCCGCGAAGTTTGAGCTCCGAGAAGACGCGGGCGGCCATGGTGGTCTTGCCGACGCCGGGCGCGCCCATGAAATTGATGCACACGGTGGGAGTGGTGGGGGTGGAAGTCTCCATGATGTGCTATGCGATGTGATGGTGGTGTTGGACGCAAATGCGCCGGTGTGGTGTTTTGGCTCAGTGGGAAGAGCCTCAATCATTGTATTTAACGAAGCACCCCTGGAAGACTCCACCATGGCCTTTTCAGTACCACAGCGACGGTGTGGCTCTTTGTGGCCACCCTTGTCCAATGTAGACACCTGTTTCCGAGAGACAGCGGTGGTGGTCCAGGGTGGCCGCCTTTCTACCCTCCAATCCCAGAGTCGCCCTCAGTCTATAGACAGGGCCTACAGCCAGGAATGGGAGGGCATGCCAACTTTACAAGCCAACAGTCTCCTCTTCATTAAGTTTGGGGGCAAGGAGTATCATGATGTCATCTCTCCCCATTCCAGGCCAGGGACTATCTCCCACTTGAGGACCTTGAGGTGGCCTTCTCCCACCACAGCAGTGTATGTCCTTTTGTCCCATGAACAGCCCTTCCCAGCAACACCATGGCCTCAAAGTCCAATCCATCCACCCAGTGGGTGGTGACCACAGGTTTTGGCTGACCATGGATGGCTTGAGGTGAAGCAATGACTTGCCAACATGTTGACCTCTAAAGCCTCATCCATCCACAGGTGGTGATGAGGTAACCAAAAAACTTTTGGATGCTCATCCAGCCACCTGGTGAGGTGGCCACAGGTGTTGGGTGACCATGGATGGCCAAGCCATAGTCATGTCTGGTGGCACCTTGACTGCCAAACCCCCAATCCAATCCACCCATCCATGCCCAGACAGGTGGGCAGAGGTTATGGGTGGCCAACACCTTGACCCCCAATTGTCCATCCATGCCTGGTCAGGTGGCCACAGGTTTTGGGTGACCAAGGCACATTGATGGCCCATCAACACCTTGGCCCTAACACCAAGCCATCCATCCATGGAGGGCAAAGTGGCCACATGTTTTGAGCAACCACAGGGCATAGGAACAACTTGTCAACACCTTGCACCTTGCATCTTCACCCCCAGTCTACACACCCACCCACACCCATGCACAGTTAGGTGGCCACAGATGGCCAAACCACAGCAATGACCCATGGGCCAACACCTCAACACCAAACCTGCCCATCCATCCATCTGGATGCCAGCCAAAGGTGTCCTATGGTTTGAAACAACCAAGGCTTGACCCTAAACCCCCAACTCATCCATCCATCCACCCATGGGTGGTACTAAAGCAGCCAAACAGTTTTGGGGCACCCAAGGCTTTACCCTAAACTCTATCATCCCTGGGATGACCAAGGCATGGCCCCCCCAAGTCTCTCAACCCCCCACCCCAATCCATCCACCCACCCACAGATGGTGTGAAGTGGCCAAATGGTTTTGAGACAGCCAAGACTTGACCCTAAAACCCTAAGACCTGGTCTCTCCATCCCATCATGACCAAAATGTTGACATCATCATCATCATTGGTGGTGTGTGGGTGGTGGTGGCCAAAGGACAACAACAACATCATGTCTCAAGACCCCCACCCCACCCAAAGCAGCCATCTGGTCCACATCACAGCCATACTGCAACATGACCCAAATCCCTCCTCCCTCAGCCAAAAGTTCTTGTTGACAACTTAGTTGTCAATGTTGATGATGATGTTAATAACTGGTCTCAGTGATGATGATGATGCCCCCAACAAGACTTTGGATGGTGGTGAAGGACATCAGCGGGGTGGTGGTGATGGACCAAGGTCGCACTGTGACCCACCAGGAAGTCAGCCCCACAACCAAGAACCAAGACCCATCTGTGCTGTTGGCCACCACCACCAAATCTTGGTTGTTTTTGTTGGAGACTTGTTGAAGGCTTCAGGACAAATCTGGCTTGGGACAGTACAGGTGGATGGATGACAGTTCAGATCAACAAAGAAGGAGAACCAATGTTCGCGAAAGGCCGCTGGCACTGGGAACAACAACAGCGCTGCCAAGCACCAGTCGGGACTGTATCTCTGGCCATCATCGGAGGCCTCCTGCACAATTCGCAGATAGTGGCCGACTCGGACATGATGACAACACCATCACAAGGCCAACAAGAAGGTCATAATTGTCAAGCCTTCAGGGCGCATCTTTCGGGACTAAGAGAGGATGCTCACATTGCTGGTTTGTACAGGCACGGGACATTGGGTTTGGCGAGTCCAAAAAGGGGGCAAGGCTCTTTAGTTCCATACATCGCCCGCACAGGCGTCGTGGCAGTTTACGGCAAACTTGATGCTGTCGATGGCCTTGTCGACGATCTCGCGGTCCAACGCCACATTCTTGACCTTGGCCAGGTCCTCGAAGAAGAGCGGGGCGGTCGCCGTTGTGGCGCGGTCCCTCGACGTGCTCGAGGTAGCAAACTTGATGTAGAGTTTAGCCAGGCCGGCGGGCGCGATGACCTCCAGGAGCCTCACGAGCAGGGATTTGTCCCGCCATATCGACACAGTGTCCATGATGCACTCTGCCAGGCGATCAACGACGTCCCACGGTGTCAAAGGTCTGCTTGACGATGGCATCGACCTTGAGCGGCATTTTGTAGGAGGCAGTGTGAGCTCGGGCATCGCATTGCACGCCCCTCTAGATGTCTTGCAGCAGACCCGCGACGAGAGCGAGGACGACGCCACACAGGAGGTGCACGTTGCTGGGCCTGGTGTTTTTAGAGTGGTAGGCCTCGCGAGCATGGCCGAGAGCAACATCTCCTTGTCGGTGCGCTTGGCCCTCTTGATGGCGTCCTCGGAAGCCCAGGCGGCGATGGCGTCCACGTATTCGTCGCTGTCAGCGTCGGGTCTGGACCATCGACCGGGGTCCTAGATGCGATTGCACACAGCGGCGCTCGTGAGCATTTCTGGCGCGGTCATATGGGTCGATATCGTGGCGATGATGATCGCCATGTGGTCCAGGTCGGCCCCTCCGTGAGGCGGAGCCACGTAGGCGTCCCAGACGCGCACGTCGGCATCTTGAGTTTTTCTTTCTCCAAGCCGCGCCAGCCGGCAAAGTAGTGCTCGTTGGCCGTCTTGACAGAGAATTGGGCACACAGGAGCCATCTGGCCAGCCATATCGAGGCGGCCTGCGCGCCCTGGCCAACTCGAGTCCCAGTCGCGGCACGCTGATCCACGCGGCACACGGGTCGCCAAACCTGTGCGAGTTGGGATTGTCCCGAGGACACGTCCTTTTGAGGCGGACAGTCTCAAGACCAACCAACCATCCCTCCGTCCGTCCGTACGGTGGCCCACCCAAGAAGTTGGCCCCCACAACCAAGGTCCAAGACCCAACAACCCATCCATCCGTCCACACCATCAGTCAGCCAACACTTGGTCCTTGTTGGGACCCACGGAGACTTGTCGAGGGGGGCTTCAAGACGGATCAGGCTAATCCAGCAGGAGAGGAAGAAATACAAACCCCTGTAAGGTAGGTCGATGTCGATGGGATCACCGACGTTCACGGCAAGACCCATGGCGGTTGGTGACCTGTACACTGCTGTCCGTAGGTGCTGTTGATGGCAGCATCTATGTCGCACGAGATGTACGAGTAGGAGCCGTCGGTGTCTTCCGCAATGTCGTGCTGTCGCTGACTGTCCTGCAGACATCTGCATCGATGGAGTACGCGTTCGTGTCAAGGTCCAAGTCGTCATTGGCGGCGACGACAGTCAGGACCACAGTGTACGGTGGAGGCGTTTCCTTGGCCAAGGTGGTTTGCGATAAGGTGGAAGGCGATCTCGACGAGACGGTCGGTGCGTGTAAGCATCCGAGGCGGCAAAGGCCCCGATCAAGGGGCGGTCGAGATGCTCCGACAGGCTGGCGGTGGGCGCCATGGCAGGCTCGCCCAAATCGGCCAGTAGTTGCTGCAGCAAGACATTCGGCACTTCGGCGGTGTAGGCGACGGCCGCCGCGTAGTCCAGAAGAACCGGCGACCGTACTAGTGCACACCTGACACACCACTCTTGTGCCCTGTCGCAAATCTGGGAGAGATGGTCGAACAGGGGGAACATTGTGGTATCGACGTTGGTCTCGTCAACGGTGGATCTCGAGTGCACCCTGGCGGCACGCACAAAGGCCAACACCGTCGGGGTCTAACCAGGCCAATATGATGTCGTAAAACTTGGGCTTGCGTTCCTTCTTGCGCACGAGAGCGGGCACACATCCTCTGGGTGGGTGTTGCAGCCACGAGATGCCATCCCTCTCCACCCCAATTCGGGAGAAGGCTTGGTGGTAGCGCTTGACGATGGCGTGGGCCACGACAAGCGCCAACGGGTGCTCTTCGTCGGCCTCCAAGGCCAACAGCCAGTTGCCGGCAGCCGCCAGTGGGGTGCCATAGATGCTGACGCCGGGACGCTGGGACCAGGCTCGCCAGCGACCAACTAAGCAAATGTTTTTCGCTCACCTTTCGGGATGATCGTAGTCGGCCTCGTCGACGTCGGGCAGCAGGTAGCACTGAGGGCGCTTGCCGACATGTGGCCAGGTCGAGCGCGAGCTCATAGGAGCGCAGGCCTGACTCCAAGGCTGCGCCGTGGCGCGAGATGACGGCTTCGCGAAACAGGTGCTGGAAGAGATCTCTGAGGGCCACATCGTCAGGTAGCCGGCCCTCCTCGTCGACGGGATGGCTCAGTACCTCGCCCACCTGCCGTGCCAAAGCCTCGGCCCGGCGGAAGGAGCGCAACCAGCCAGGCACACCGCGCACATTGTCTCGGCATGGATGGTCCCCCGCCGCCGGGGCTCACCACTACGTCCCTTGCTGGTCACCCGAGGGATCGACAAGAAAGGAGCCTTGTGCGAAACGCCTTGGCGGCGTCACCGAGTCGGCGTCACGCTGAGCGGCGAGCAGGCCCAAGAGAGTTCCTCGCCCACGCCGACCATCAAACGACAGACAGTCGCCAGGGCGCTCTCCTCGTGGGCGTCGCGCGTCTCAATGAGCTCTAGACTTGGTCTGCTGAGGTGCGGCAGGCTGAGATCGCGGAGGCGGTCACCACCAACAGCCAACCGAAAGGGCCACTCGCCAAGAGTTACGTCGGCACCTTGTTCCACCAGGCTCTGGGCCACCGTCGACGCCTTGGCCATGGCCAAATGCAGCAACGACCTGGGAGACGCCATTTCTGTTTGATGTCGCGAACTTTAATCTGTAATGGCCGAGAGGGTTCACAATGATCTTGTGTCTGTACTTTTAGGCGGGGCTACCTCCTTCTTTCGCCGTGGGCCAAAAGACGGCCAACGCAAAAGCAGCCACCAGCGCCCTGGGGCCGTCTGCCTATCCGTCCACCTGCGTCCCAAGATTTGCGCCTTGCGGAAAGGTGTCAGCCCAGAAAGACAGGAGGTTTGGGCAATAAGAGCCTATAAAGGAACGGCGGCACCAGAGAGCGGTAGGTTTGCATCACACAAGCAACGACGACGACCACGTGGAGATGAAGCGCACCAGAGAAGACCCCACCGTCGCCGTGGATGCCGATGCGCACAAGCGGGCGCGCCCTTCCTCCGATGAGGAAGAGGAGCTCCCATATGGACTAGGCTCCATCGTCACCATCCGCAGGATCGAGAGGACCTATGGCGGATGTGCCATGGACGAAGCCAAGTCGGCCGTGCAAAAGTACAGCCGACGGGACGAGTTTGACAAGGCCCTCAAGTTCGCCATCGAGATGGACCTCTTCTCCCTCCATCCCGACGGCCGACACATCCAGACCAACCTATGGAACCGCTTCAAGATCATCGCTCTGGAGGATGTCTCGTTGGCCAACGTCAATGCCCTCATTCGGATCGACGCGCGTCTCCGGTGTCTGGAGGAGGGTCGCAAGAGGCGACGGGACGCCAACGGCGGCAGGGAGCCTGCCGGCCTGGCATCGCCGACAGAGCAGCAGGCCCTCGTCGACATCGTCTGGGCGCTGTGCACGAGCAAACACTGCCGCCTGCCCAGCCACTACAACGCCGCCTTCTGCAAGCCCGAGGTGCTGCCGGCTCTCGCGGCCGAAGCACCCGAGATCCACCGACAACTGGAGGTGGCCAGAGGCGCCGTGGAGTGCCCGCCACCCCGCCGCACCTTCCCCTTTAGCGCACTCGGAGAAGCGCGACACCGAGTTGGTGGGCATCGTCAACCGCCTGGTCTACTGCCTCGAGCAGCGGTGGGGCGCCGGGTTCGCGCCACTCCAAGAGCTCATGGCACGCAAGACCGGCCCCACCAAGCACCTGAAGAGCACCAACACCGTCTACTTGGCTCTGGACGTCTTTGACTGGTTCGTCCGGAAGGCCCATCCCAACTGGGTCGCTGACGACGACAAGACCGTCCTGCTCGACTTCCTGGGCGTGATGGTGCGCTGGTGCAAGTACATGGCGGCCAACAAGGAAGGTCCACCGCTCTGCCTGCGCAGCGCCTACCTGGCGCTCATCCTGAGCGATCGAGTCCAATGGAGGCGTGCCGTGAAAGTGCCTCCCTCGGATTTCGACGCCGGCCAGGCCTACCAAAGCCATCTCGACCTCGAGGTCGACCTCTCAATCGACAAATGTGCGATCGACATGCACACCCGGCGCGGGCGCAGTGCCGGCAAGGGCAAGGAGGTGTTTGGCGCCTGTAGCGTCGTCGCAAATGAGGACACCAACCTCCTCGACCCGCTCTACAAGCGTCTCTACCTCCTCACCAAGGGCAGTGGATCGCTGCCTTTGCCGCCGTCCCCTTCCCCAGCCCCCTGAGGTTGTGGCTTTCGTTGTTGGAGGCCTGGATGAAGACGTCATCGTCGCCGTTGACATCGTCGCCGAGTGATCGACCGAGAACCAAGGGAAAAGATGTTGACGACGTCACGACAACAAGAAGAAGGCCTTGATGACCGCGTCACCTCCCCCTTCACTCCCAAGTCCCCAGCAACACCAACGTTGCCAACAGCGGGCCACAACGACGACTACGTCCCCCACAACGACAAGAATTTGGGCTGCTGGTGCGGACGGAAGGATGTTGGCAAGGCATGGTGAGGGCAGGCAGATTGATGGACTGAGGGCTGAAGACCCAACCATCCATACTGTGGCCCACCCCACAACTTGGCCTCAGCCCCAAATGTGGATGATGACGACAACATCATGTCTCAAGACCCCCCGCCCTCCGTCCCTAGCCCTAAGCAGCCATGCGGCCCACATCGCAGCCACACCGCGACGCGACCCAAAGCCCTCCTCCTCCCTCCACCCAAAGTTCTTGTCAATGACGTCGTTGCCAACTGGTCTCAACAATGACTACAACAATGTTGAGGGATGGGGAAGGATACTGGGAGACCTGAAACATCGGCGGTGGCAGTTGGCCAAGCACCAAGGGACACATCTAGACAACAACAATATCAACTGGGTTCAACCCTCCAACCTGTCCAACCATGGTTGGTGGTGAGGTGGCCAAAGGCTTTGCTCCTGTCTCTGCAACCGCGGCTATACCAACCCCGGCTTCGCTCATCCCTGCCTGTGTCCCTCGCCCCGTCGCGAAGCCTGGAACCCCACCACACAGCAGACCATCTGTGTTCAGCCCTACGAATGTACCACCGCCTCACCGTGCCCGTTCACCAAAACGTGCCCGTTCGTCGGCGACGACGGCATTGGCTCCTGCCCCATGGCCTGAACCACGACCGCAGATACCCTATGCATCTCTTTGCCCCATTAAGTTGTACCTTTGCCCATGATCCTCAAGAGTGGTTTTGAAGTTATTTTCCGTAATGTCATAAATTCATCCACGAGAGCCGACGTCATGCATGAAAACACTCGCCTCTCTGGGTTCACTGACGGGGCCATCGGCCTTGTTAGCCAGCACTGGCGGCGGTATTGGCTTATGGCCCTCGATCAGATTGCTGACACTAGCGGCTTGCTCGTCGAGCCACTTTGCGATCTCGGCGGTCAGTCGATGGCGAGCGGCTCGTTGGCCGTGTCCTCCCCGTTGACCGTCAACGATGGGCTCACGATTGGCCCCTTCACGCGGACAGAGGCCACCGTTTGGAGCATTCATGCTGCTGTCGTTGAGGTACCATATGTCAGTCCCCTCCCACATCGAGTGTGCTTCGCTGCCGTCCCTTTTCCGCTTCTTCCGGTGCCAGCGATCCAGAGATTGCAGGGTTCCTCGTCGCCTGACCTTGGCTGAAGCATCCGCAGCGCGCGACGGCGTCGCAGCGAGGATGGTGGTGACACTTGCATGTCAGGATGGCCTTGGTCGTTCCCTCTAGCACGAACGGGCCAACCGACTTTCGAAGACAGTCCGGAGAGCAGCCTCACCACCGCGCGCAGGCAGAGCATGCCGCCCTCGAAACACTTGTCCTTGTATTGGAGGGCGGACCTAGCATGCGGCCAATTGCAGTCGCTGGGTTCCCACACTAGGGTTAGGTAGCGCCAGTTGGTGCCGGTGGGGTTGTTGCACTTTTGTGCCACCTCGCCCAAGTCTGCCTTGATGCGCAACTTGATCTGATCGACGGCGTTCTCGTCGACTTCGCGCGCGTTGTAAGGGAACGCGATCTGCGCCCTTCCCAAGTTGCCATCGTGCACCACCAGGCGCAGCCACCGGATGGTGTCGCTCGATGATGGGTGCTGTTTCGTGTCTCTGTTAGAGCGTATGCATTCGGTACGGCTCTTCGAGCTCATCGCCCGCTCCGCGCGCATGTGTTCGTGGAAGACGCGGTTGTGTTGGAATGACTCAAAATCCCATCCCAAAGTCTCAAAAGCCAACTCCAGCGCCCTTCTCCCAAAGTGTCCCCCCCATCTTTCCGTAAAGAAACTCGACTTTCCCAAATGTCAACAAGATCTTGACAGCGGGAAATTCATTGCTTTGGTCTAACCAAAAACTTGAGTAGGATATCTTGGACGCTAAGGGTCGGTTTCTAACCCTTCCACCTCGACCCTAAAGAGGCCCTTGGGCAAAGTGGCGCAGACGGCATCCCATGCAGCAAAGACGTCTTCGTGCGTTTCGGCTTTGATTTCCTCTCGGTGAGTCGATCCTGCCTTAACATCGCCACCGTCGCTGTTCTTGATGGAACCTTCGATGGGGTCGAGCGGCACAAAGTAGACGAGAACACCCTCGAGGCAGACAGTGGGCTCCTCGCACAGTCCTTTGTGGTCGTCTCCGGTGGTGGGCGCATCGACGCAGAGAGCTCTCTTCTCGTTCACCCACTCCGCAAAGGTGTCCTTGTCCACGGCACGCAGCCACGAATCCACGACGACCTCCTCTTTGAGTCCATCGCCCTCTGGGACAGAGTACATCTTCTCACTGGGGATGGGCGGCGCTTGCTCCGGCGAGAGGCAGTCATCCAGTTTCAATATGTTCTCATATCGGGCTTTGACGATGCGCACGATGCCCGAGCGGATGCGTTCGTAGAGCGCCTGGCTTATGACCATCGGCAGTGGGTTGTACGGCTGCTCGCTGTTGTGAAGTTGACGAAGCAGGCTGATAATGGTCTCCTGCTCTGCGCAGTTGTAGAACACACCCGCCGAGGGATCTTTGGCAGCAGCGACAGTCGAGAACAACGACTGAATGGCCTCCACGGCTTCAAGTTGCGCTTCAACCTGCCCGAGTGTGGGCGTGAGCGCAGCCTGCAAGACCTCGACCTCTTCCTCAAATTGCCGGCACTGTCGCTTTACCTTGTCGGTAAAGGCAGCAAACCTCTCACCGAGTTGAGTGATGGGCCACATGAGGGTGTTGTGCTCTCCACGCAAGCGCTTCTTCGTGGCTTTCAGTTCTTCCATCTTGCGGTCAACAAGGCGCGACAGCAAAGGTAGAGATGTGCCAGTTGGTCTCGACGATTGCGTTCCCTCCCTCTTCGCTGACCCTTCCGTCCGCGTGCAGCATAGCCCTGACCGCCTCATGCTTTCCATTGTTTATTTGTTGGCAGAACACACGCTTCAACTCTAGGACCACTACAGATCCATCACAGATGCGCCAAAATGGAAACTAGCATTCTGAGGGCCAAGGGTTCATTGTGGGCCTCACCATAAAGTTGAACAGAAGCAGCGTGTCTTTTCAGCCATTCTCCAGCAACAAGGTCAAGCCCTCCACCTGATACCATTGCAACAATGTCCCATTCCACCGACGACGCCCACACCTTTGACGCCCAGCACCAAGTGAGCGATACCAGGTCCATACAGGACGTCCTCAAGTCCTGCCCTGACCAAGAGTGCATGGAATGCTTGGCTTGCCCCCACGGTGAGCCCCTGCACTTCCATCATGACGACTGCCCAGCGTGCTGGTCAGCGCAGGTCTCCACCGCCCAAAACGATATATCCACCACCGTGCTCTAGTTCTGGCGCGCCGTTGTCCAAGTGGGACCTGGGAGGTCAGCCGGCGATCAAATACAGCCCTTCTCTTGTTCCCCCAAGTAACGATCCACCCACCTTACTCTGGCTCAAAACCGTCTGTCCCTTTTGGGAGTAGTGGTTTGGGCAGAAGACAGGGACTGGCATTTCGCTCCCACCTGAAGAGGCTGGGTTAGTGCTGGCAATTGTCTTGGAGACACAGAGATTCCAAGTTTGGTCTCTCTTTGGCTCACGCAAGATAATGACCGTAGCATATGAAAACACCCGCAAAAGGTCATCGAGCCGATTGACGGTCACGAGAGGCGGCACTGGCCGGTGAACCTCGGCACGGAGATCCGACTCCTCTCGGGGGCAATCCAAGGGCTCGTCAATCGTAACCGATTCGTTTGAGCACTTGGTGACCTTGTCGGTGAGGTCAATGGTGTCGCGAATGGTAGAACACTTGAAGGCCTCGGCAAGGGGTTGGCATGGACGGTTGTCATTGGCCGAGTTGGCATTGAAGTTCCCTGTGTCGTCGATTGCCTCCTGGCTTGTTGTTGTGGCTTGCTTGCACTTCTTCCTCTTTGATTCCCTCGCCCATGTACAATGCCTTCACAGAGGGGAGGGTGATGGCACTTACATGTCAGGGTGAAACCCGTAGCCCCTGGGCTCCGCTAGAAAAGGGCGGATCGACTTTCGAAGACATCGTAGCCGTGACGGAAGACGACAGCACAGTGGTCTGAGACCGAGAGCGCCGCCCTGAGCGCGTCTGGAGGCATTTCGTGGGAGTACATATCTGACGACACCGAGGGCGTGTGATAAGACAGTATCTTGTAAGGAGCCAGCATCGGCGAGGCGGACAGCGTGGGGTAAGGCGTGGATGGTGCCAAGTATATGGTCGAGGGCGCTGTGAAGGAGGGTGAGGGCATGGGGTAAGGCGAAGGGGTCATTGTCGAATACAAGGTCGATGGCATCGACCACGTGGCTAGCGGTGCCTGAGGGTGTTGAGCAAGAAGCCGAAGCCGCTGGGCGAGGGGTGAGGGGCGCCGAGTACGAAGTTGAAGATGTCGAAGTCGCAAGGAGAGGTCGCATCAAAAGTTCGCCACCTCAGAAGCACTGGCCTTGGCCACGTAGTTAATGGCCTCCAAGACCAAGTCGTCGGACAGCGCCTGTACTGCCTGCGTCAATCCAGAGGCGACCGAGCCACCGAGTCTCTTCTTGCTGATGGCGCGGGAGGGCAAGCCGCCAGCGGCAGCGAGGCGCTTGGCGTTGACGGCAGGAGCGTGCATGGCCACGTTACGTGGATGTCAAGGGCAAGGACAGGCGAGGGGGCAGAAGGAGCATAAGAATCTTCTTGTGATGGTGCCCCCCCAAATCAGAAACGCCAGCAGGCCATCCTTCCGTGTTCTTTGAGTGCGCCACCGTCCAGCCGTCGCGATGGCCTTTCATGAAATATCTGGCCTAGGTGGTTTGTTTATTTATTTTTTGCCTCATCAACATCATCACCATCACAGGGGCTCGCACAGGTTCAGTGCCAGAAAGGCGCCATAAATTGGCGGCGGCTGAGCATACAACAAGAGGAAAGGTAGAGGGAGACATGGCACGCGTGCGGCACCTCTGCGCTCTCGTGCTCCTCGCGCTTCTGGCCGGAGGCTCTTCCGCACAGTGGAGCACGCTGAGTCTCGCCCAGCCGCGCAAGGAGATGCGGGGTGCGGCAGTTCGCGACCTGGTGTTCTTCGCGGGGGGGTTCACGGGAGCTCCGTGTTCTCCAAGACGGTGGAGATCTACAACATGACCTCGGGTGTGTGGCGGACGGCGGAGCTCTCGCGCGGTCGCTCGGGCGTCGCCACCACGTCGGTGGGCGATAGGTTCGTGCTGTTCGCCGGCGGCCTGACGGGGACGTGGGATAACAGGGTGGCCTCAGCCGCGGTCGACATCTACAACGTCGACACCAATACATGGACAACAGCAGCGCTCTCCCACCCCCGCGTCAACATAGCGGCGACCTCTGCCGGCGAGCTCGCCTTCTTCGCCGGCGGGAGCAGTGGCGATGAGTCGCTGCACAGCGTGATCGACGTCTACAATGCCACATCGGGCGCCTGGAGCACGCTGTCGCTCTCCGAATCACGCACGCTGCTGGGGGCCGTGTCGCTGGGCGATTTGGTGTTCTTCGCCGGCGGCTACCGGTCGGGCGCCTACACGTCCCTCGTGGAGATCTACAACACCACGTCGCGGGTGTGGGCCTCGCCGGCCCATCTGTCCCAGCCCCAGACCATCAGCGCGGCTTTTGCGATGGGCAGCAAGGCCTTCTTCCTTGGGCGGAGCGTGACCAACTTCGTCGCCCGCTCGGCGCTGCACATATACGACGCCTGCACCGGGGCCTGGACTGCCGTGGCCGTGCCCCGTCTCTCCTACGAGACGGCGACGGCGGCGAACGGGCTCGTGATACTCGCCGGCACACTGGTCGGCTACGAGACGGCAGGCACGGTCGACATCTACACTGTCGCCACCGGCGCCTGGACCTCGGCGTCGCTTTCGGTCGCCCGCCGGCACTTGGCCGCCGCCTCGGCGGGCAACGCAAGCCTCCTCGCCGGCGGCGACCTCAACACCGCCACCGTCTCGGACGCAATCGACGTCTACAGGTCTGCGTACCTGCCGCCGCCTGGCTGCTTGTAAGGCTGGCGTATCAACAGAAAATAAACAGATAAAATCGCAGGCGTCTTGTTTTTACTCTCGTCGTCGTTTCAACTCACAAGTTTTTATTGCTTATACAAACGACATCATCCACTTGGGTAGGTGGGCGTGAGATACGAAGGTGTGGCCGTGGTCGCGGAGCGCGACCATGGCCGGGTCTTCGTGTCGGTCATCGTGGCACCAGCGTATGGTGGGAAAGCGATTGTCTCTCGGCCGGAGGTTGAAAGCGCCATCGTAGTGGCTGATCGTGCCGGCGGGAGAAGTGCCCAGCAGGACAATGATGTCGAAGTTCAGTCGTGCGCCGTTGGCGATGATCTGGGCCAGTCCGCTCGTGGCCTGCAGTTGGTACTCGTACTCTTCGATGAAGAGAAGCCTACGGGCCGTCGGCGGTGGTGCGCTGCGGTCGCGGACGATCTTGTCCATCCACGATCCAACCGACAGGATACCGGTCTTTACCGGGTCCTCGGTGGAGACGTACTGGTGGATCGAGTGGACGTGGCCTCTGATGCGGTTGTCGGTCTTGCCGGACGGTACCAGCACGTAGGCACTCTGCCAGCCGGCCACCGATTTGCCCTGAGCCAAGACTTGGTCCAAGAGGTGCTCGCGGTCGTGGTCGATGAGTATCGTCGAGGGATGTGACGCTGAGAAGGACGGCGCCGCCGCTGCGTTGCCCTGGCGCACCTGCTCCGACGCGGCCGAAGGAACGAGATTGCTCAAGGAAAGTGATGCCAACCGTTCAGTTACGAGATCGCGCACGCTCTGTTCCGTAGTGAGAGTCAAGACCTCGGCGATCAGATTCACCAACTCTGCCACGGCCACCTCCGGTTGTACTTTGGCGATGTCGGCGACAGCCGCCAGAAACGGCGATGGCACAACCTTGCTGGTGTTCATGGTCCAGTGATTACGATGACCGTATCAATCAGGGCACACCAGGTTTATGTAAGACCTGGCCCTTTGGTAACGGCAGCACCCTCGCGATGAGGGATTTGTTTTCCTTTTCGTACATCGCTGCCTGTTTCCGTGGACAGCGAAGGAACTTTGTGTGGTGGTTGCGCGCGCACACACACACACACACACACAGACCCGCCAGCGGCTTTTCGGCGCTCTGCTCCACTTGCCGTCTTCCAATGTTTATAAAGTTGTCCGCAAACAAGACAATAGCGCGTACACATCTTTGGCCTCGGCTAGAGCAGCAGCGCCGTTGGTGGGAGTGGTGCCGGTCTCTGCGGTCTCTTTCTCACCATCCGTTGTCCGCCCACGACCCGCAGGCTTCTCCCGATCATGTGTGGCACCCATGTCTTCGCCACCGCCACCGTCCGCAGCCAGTTCGAGGGGGTCGACAAACGCGAGCACCGCAGGGATCTCCACAGTGAGACTGTTGTAACAGTAGTCGCCGTCTTTGTGTGTGCAGCGTTCGATGTGAGCGGCGACGTCTTCGCCGTTGATCCAGCCGAGGAGCTCGTCGTGACGAGCGCTCCTGTTCCATGCCTCGACGCAAGCGCTGTCTTCTTGCTCTGACTCCGCAGGATAACGCACCTTCTCTTTCGCAAGCGCGATGTACTCGGGAGAGCTCGTCTCCTTCGCGCAGAACGGATACGGGTCGCTTTTCACCGTTACGGTGTAGGAAACGTCGGCGACGCGCTTGATCTTGCCACGTATGCGTTCGTACAGCCGCAGATCGATCTCCTCTGGCAACTGCGTCTGCTGCGGTGCCTCGTCGTGCTTCTTGATGACGCGCAACAGGTTGACAATTCCCTGCTGCGTGGCGGTGTTGAAGAGCATGCCGAGCGAGAGATCGCCTTGAGGCGAGTCGGCGCGGAAGAACATCTCGATAGCATCGGCGGCGCGCAGTTTGGCCTCGAGCAGTGTATGGACAGGTGATGACGCGGTGTTGTACATCAGGTACAAGCGTCGGCGTTTGGCTTCCTTGCAGATCGGTTTGGCTTGATGTTCTTCGAGGGCAAGGTTGGTGGTCTGCATTGCTGCGTAACGTACGGAGCGTTTGATGTCTGTGTGTGGGCACGAGAGAGAAGAAGAGGGCAATCTGGTATAGCAAAAAGGCAACCGGTGGGTGCCGCAGGGAACGGGTCAACTTTCCGTGTGCGACAACAGGATCATTGCGCCCGTCATCATGTGGCCCCTCCGCCATTCATCAAATCCTGCGCAATCACAAGTTGCCCGTGCTGAGTTGTGGGGCCAAGCAGTAGCAATTGCAGGATGCCATCGTTGTGCATAAAGCAATGGTTACAAGGAGGGTTAGGGTTTAGGGTAGCCACCCAAAACAATAAAATAAAAACAATGCGCGTTTATTGTTTGCAAAGGATACGGGTGTGGTGGTGAAGACGTCCTCGGCGTCCTTGAAGATCGACACCTGGAGGAAGAACTGGGAAGAGCTCTCACCGGTCAACTGTGTTGGTGTCTTGGCAAACGAGATGTGCGTGGAGAGTCGACCAGAGGAGTAGCGCGGCTTGTCGAGGCGTGCGCCGCACTCGTGCCCGATCGCCGGCAGTAGATCCGGGCAAATGGGGTGTGGTGCACCACTCTTCACGGTGGCAGTGATCACGATGACGAGGCACCAGCCGGCGCGGGGCACCTGGACGACGGACGTGTGCGTGAGGCAGCACTTGATGGTCTTGCCCTCTTTTGGGTGGTCGATGTTGGTAGAGTTGAGGAACGCGACCTCGAGCGGGTAGCGGTCACCACAGCGGATATTGGAGGGGAAGGCGCACAACTGAAACTTCACCTCCTTCTTCTTCCTCTCCTCCTCCTTCTTCTTCTTCGGCTTGTCAGGCGTCATCATCTCCTTCATCTTCGTCAATGGTAAGTCTTTGGTTTTCATTGCCTCGTCCTTCTCCATCGTGGTTCGTGAGATCTTCAATGGGTTAGGGTTAGGCTGTTGTAGGAGTAGCCGTCCTTCTTGATAGTGGCGAGCTCGGTGGTAGCGAATCCGTCGCCGTTCGTGTTTACCCAATCAAGGAGCGCAAACGCATCAGAGTCAGGTCGCCGCCATTGTGGCACGACTGTACCGTCCTGCGTCGAGCCCGAGAGATAGACTTTTTGGCTCGCAGGTATCGCAACATCGCCATAGAGGCCGTCCGTGTTTGTGGCGGCCAGGTATAGATGGCTCTCTAGAGTTATCTCGTAACATACGTCGACGATGTTCTTGACCTTGCCTCGGATGAGTTCGTAGAGCCGCGAACCGACGCCATCGGGCGCCTCTGCCTCCTGAGTCGTCGTTTCATCTAGTGCTATGAGTTGGTATGAGTTGCACATCTCTGTATTTGGTTTTGGGCAGAACAGCCAACACGCTGGCGTCCTCGTCAACTGTGAGAGCAGTAGTTGCCGCCTTCGCCGGCGTTCATATCTGGATGATCCTTCTCCTTCTCGTGCTTGTTGTCGTTGTCTAAACCGTCGTTGATGTTGTTGTGTTTGCCGCTTCATCGCTTATCTCTGGGTCGTCCTTCTCTTCGTCATCGTCGTCGCTGTCCTTCTCATCGCTTTCGTCATCGCTTTCGCCGTCGTCGTCGCCAGCAGCGGTGGTCAATGGCTCGAGCGGGTTGACAAACACAAGCACCGCCGGAATCTTCAGAGTGAGGGAGTCGTGGGCGTATGCTTTTCTCCTCTTGTCCTCGACCGTGGCGAGCTCGAAGTCGGCGGCAGGAAAGCCGTCGCGGTTCGCGTTCGCCCAGTTGAGGAGCGCAAACGCATCGTAATCAGGTCGCCGCCATTCCTCCACGGCCTTCACTGCACCATCTTGCGCCGAGCCCAAGAGATAGACCTTTTCCCCTGCAAAACACTCAAACTCGCCGTCGTGGTCCGTCTTGTTGGTAGCCAGGTAGGGATGGCTCTCCAACGTTGTCTCGTAGCACACGTCGACAATGTCCTTGATCTTGCCTCGAATGAGTTCGTAAAGCCGCGAATCGACTCCGCAGGGCGCCTCTGCCTGCTGCAAGGACGTCGTTTCCTCGTGTTTCTTGATGACACGCAGTAAGTCGATGGCCCTTTTTTGCGTAATGGTGTCGAAGAGCCTGCCAAGAGCCAAATCCTCGCCGATGAAGTTCCTGTTGAACAGCCCATTGATTAGGTCGGCGACATACAAGTTGGTCTTGGCGGACGATTCGACGAGCTCGGTGGCCTTCCGCAAGTCGGCCGCGATTTGCAGCAAGCACAAACGTCGGCGTTTGGCTTCCTTTTTGATATCGTCGGCGTGATACTCGAGGGCCTTGATGGGCGCGTCGGCAGCGTCGACCTCCTGGCGCAGGCGCTTGCGAATCTTCTTGAGGTCTTGCATGGCGTGGCGGGAGGGAGGGAGGGTGGAAGTGAGCAGGTGGGTGTAAGAGTACAAGAAAGAAGATGCCAAAGAAATGGAGACTTATAAGGACATGGTCGTGGCAGCCGTTTCAATTCAACTTTTCCGAAAGTTGAAGCACTTGCAAACAGGGGTCAACAGCCAGGGTGCGATGGTGGCTGCGCCTGCCGAAATCGTCGGCGACGTTCTTCTAAACGCGCAAGGGCTGCGGGAATCTTTGCCATCCAATCTTCCAGTTCCCGCGCTGCCTTGTCGCTGAGGTATAACTTGTCTCCTGTTGCGCAATCAACGAGGTATCGTCGGCCGTCGGGATACAGCGTGGCCAAATCCGCTTCGGTCTTGCACCATCCCGTCGGCACGAGACGCAAGGTCCTCGCCGCATATGTCGTGAGAGGGGCAGAGGACGGCAGGAGCAAAGTGGTTCGCGACCGCATTACAAGAGGGGCACTACAAGACGTGGATGCACTCACCCGATGCTTCATGGGTGGATGGACGTGCTCACTCTTGCTTCTATGGCCGTGGTGCCGTAAAACACAGTTCTTCCCTAAGATCATGCCACTCCTTCATCAGTCTCCTTTTTTCATTGGGCACGGCCGCATTCGCAAAGAATGAAAAGAGACATGGCTGCTGTGACAACACAAAAAGAGCCTCGTTGTTTCGCTAGGGCGTTCACAAAAACACTTCCAGGTTGGCGAACAACGGCAAGTGATCGCTGGTGTAGCGCAGAAGCGGTGCCTCTGCTGATGCGTTCTCGATGTCGTCGTCGTTATGGGACGTGGACGGGATGAAGCGTGTGTCGGTGAAGAGAGGGCCGTCAAACATTCCAAAGACAGGGTTGATGATCACATAGTCGAGCGGATCAAGGAACTTGTCGATGTCGAACTTGAACTTGTCGTGGGGGAAGCCAAAGTAGGTACTGAGAACCTTGCGACCAGTGGCGTGGCAGATGCTGGATTCGCCCTCGACAGTGGCGACGGCGCGCAACTTGGCGATCTGGTCGGGTCCGCCCTTGTCGTGGAAGGTGTTGAGATCGCCCGATACGATGTAGCGCTGTTTGTCGTGAATCTGGAGCCAGAGCCGCAGGGCCTCGGTACAAGCGGCGCCGGACGCAGCGTGGATGGGAAAGTGCGTAACGCCGAGCAAGAGCTCCCTTTTCGGAACTGCGACTTTGCTGTTGTGGCAGAGGAGCACGCGAGCGACGAAGAGGTTAGCGCCCCAGCCGTTGGGCATCGACTGGTCTCCGGGCACTTGCGGATCGTCCGACAGGAGTTGAATGTTCTCGGTGTGCGTGAGGTGGAAGCGCGTCGAGTTGAAGCCGATCACGTTGGCCGTGCAGCCAGGAGAAGCGTTCCCCTCGCCAAACACGACCCTGAAGCCCATGCTGCTCAACTCAAAGCCCAATAGATTTATGTGTTCGGCTTGGGTGGCTTCGACCAGGAACAGCAGGTCGGGCTTTTGCTCTCGAATGAGCCCCAAAATGCCTGGCAAGCGCTTCTTGAACTCAAAGCCTGGGACCTTCTCCTCGCCGACCGCGTCGTTGATGTTGAGCGTCCGCCTCTTGACCTTGGCGTTCTCGCCTGCGACCCCCAGGAGCGAGGTGGTGCGCAGCGTGGTGTGGTAGACGTCGGTGGATTGCATCGCTTGGAGTGGCAAGCCAGGAATCGATAGAAACTGTAGTAGTGTCTGGATGAGAAACGGAAACGTTGTTGTGGCTCGCCACGCGATGGATAGACCCAGTTTTCCGTCATGCCGGCCTGCAAACCGACGGGAGGTTTCCTAACTGTGTTTCCGTCGCCACCCAGAGGCGCAGGCCAACGTGTGCTCCCTCTTTTGCCCCTTGAGAACGCCCACCAAGCGCGCTTTTGCGTGCCCTTTCCATCCAGTGGCCAAACTTGCCCTCCATTCAGCAGCGACTTTCATGTGTCTCCATGGCCAGGATAGAAGCGAAGTGTTCAGGGTTTATTTTTATCTGCTCGACCACGCGCGTGTCTCGACTGTGTGCTTAAAGTCGGGCGGGTTGGATTGCACTCCTTTGTCGAAGGACATGAACTTGACGACGCTCGAGCGCTCGGCAATCGTCCCGCTGATGCGCTTCTTCTCCTTTTCGTCCTTGTCGAGGTTGCACTTCTCTTCCGACGGCATGTCGCACTCCAACACGACGCTCGCGCCCGTGTAGTTGCGAAACTCTGGGGTAAGACCCTCGAAGGACCACTTGATCAAGCGAGTGACTTGCTTCTCCAGGTATCTTTTGTCCTTCGCGGACACCAGATTCCATCGCAGATCACGCGCGCGTAGTCCCATTCACCGTCATCGTCATCCGAGTCTTCGGCTCCGCAGTCGCACTCGAACTCATCATCACTGTCGCCTTCGGGTAGTGGGCATGTGCATTGTTTTTTCTCCTTTCGTTCCTCTTTATCTTCACCGACCTGAACAAAGGCAACGTCAAACTTGATTTCTATGCGCCCATTGTCGAGAATGTCATAGGGTGGAGGTTGCTTCTTGATTCGCTTCGCCTCTCCAATAGTAGGGTCCTCCTTCTTCTCGTCGCGTTCCCTCTTCATGGTGGATGGTGTACTTGGGGACGATGTGTAGTGTCTTGTTCTCCGGTATGTTTCTGTGAGACGAATCTGTCGGTTTAGGTTAGGGTTCTTCAATTTTTATCACCAACACAGCAACAGACCAGTTGGGCCTTGCGACCCTTGGACTCGCGTGCTCAACTTCCCCTGGATAGCCTTGTCGCCGCTGCAGGCCTCGATATCCGAGAGTGGCGACAGCAATGGCAATGAATGAGAGACCAACAACGAAGAAACAGCGGTATGTGGCCTTGCTTGCCGCTGAGCACGTTTCCGTTCATCTAGCCTTGCAGACTTTGCTCTGAAGGTCCAAAGAGAGGTGGCTACACACAAACCTGTTGCGGAATGTACACAAGGAAACCGCCAACCGTGGTTGCTCTTCGGTCTGCCCTGGCCCTGTGCGCTATTGTACTCCCAATCCCCCTTGTGCGTGTGTCACAAACGGCGACCATGTCTCGGCCCGTCAACTCCACCGATGTCGTCCCGTTCGCCAGGCTTGAACGCGAAAGAGCCTTGCTCGTAACATGCTTGCAACATATGGCTCGCGCTGACCGCCGCCGGCCTTTACCCGAGGACGGCCGGTTGTTGTGAAGTTGCGCTAGGCCTAAACTGGGAGAACGATCTATGCCGGAACACAGCCGCCTTTATGACCACTGCGGATGTTCCGGGCATCGATTGATGGCTTTGCGCACCAGTTTTGTATTTCGAAAGCGAGTGGTGGCGACGACCGAGTAATGTACATGTCTTGCTGGGGTTAGACTTTCACGGAGAGAGAGAGAGTTACTCCAAATGTGCCGCATGAAGGGAGGTGCGGGCGACTTCCAATAGTAAGTCTGATGGCGTCCATGTGCTGGATCGTGGTGGGGCGGCGCCCAAGAAAGAGACGACGAAAAGGGCGAGAGAAGCGATGAAAACTTGGATATCATGTTCTCATGAAGGGGAAGCGCGAGACGTTACAAAGGCGTGGATGCACGCCACGGGTTGAGGATGCAAGGCTTGGAATTGTTCCTGTCGAGGAGCACATATCCGTGGTTCAAAACCAGGTCGCTGTCCAAGAGGTCGCCAAGTATGTCGGCGCTCACGGGCCATCCATAGGCACCGAGGGGGGATTGGCTGCGCTTGGGCAGGTAAAGGCGGTCGTATAATTCGATCGGCATCTCCACCAGGTCCTCGCCCAGCAAGAGGTAGACATCAAGGTTCATCCTCTTACTGTTCTTAAGCAGGTACGCCAGGCCCTTGGTCATCATGCAAGGCCCCCAGGTGTCGATCTCGATGATAAGAAGGCGGCGGCGCGCTGGCGCGGGCTTGCTCTCGGTGTCCATGACGGACAGGTAGCCGAGCAGCATCTTCACGGTCGGCTGTTCGGCTGCGCTGTTGTCCCAGGCCAAGATGGCATAGCCGTCCACGTGGTCCTGGACCGTGTGGTAGGGCACAGCGCGTTCGGAGATCCCACTGCTTCTCGAGAAGAGCACGAAAGCCTCTGTCCACTGTGCCACTGGCTTGGCCGCCCGGATGAGATGGCCCAGCAGGAGGTGGCGGGCCTCGCCCAGTATCAAACTGACGGCCGGTAGGATGGCGACCTGCGGCGACCACCGCGCGGCCACGACGGCGGGCTTCGCAACTGCGACCTCCTCGGGCTCCACAGCGGTGGTTTCGATAGAGCACGCGAGGACGGGGGCAGTTGCGGCGCAGCCAACGAGGGACTGATCTGTCATGAAACGGCACACCATTTGGCGCACAGTTTCTGCAATCTCCGACGACTTGGCTTCGATAGCATGCCGGTCCACCTTGGCTAAGTTACCACTTGGGCTCTTTGACACCGGCGGAACGTCTGGGGACGCGTGTTCGGTCGAAGTAGTAGTGAACTTACGAAGGCGTGCCACCAAGTCCTCTTCTCTGTTGCCGCCGCTGGTGTCCGAGGGGCAACCGACGCAAACCCCAAGGTTGGCAGTAGTCGATGGAGGGTGAACGGGGTTCATCTTGCGGTCGTTGATAGGGAGTGAGGCAGAAGGGAGTTGGCCTTGTTGTTTTGTAGCCGCCGAGCCCTCCTGTGTCCATCCACGCATATGCCCTCGTGCAGGAAGCCTTGTCCATTTTTGTGTCAACCCTACGTGTTTACTGTGGAACGCCGCCGAAGACAAAGTTGGCATTCACACGTCCATTGTGCGCTCTACCAAGCCTTTCGCGGGGCAACTGCCCCGTTGCTGCCCATGACTTGCGGAAACTACCAAATGCATTTCCCCTCGTCGGAACTCTGTGGACTCCCACACCTGCACTCTGGTCCGCCTCGTCCAGCGTCTGGCCAACCCCGAGTTTGTCGCTCGCGTTCCGCATGACACGCCGGCGTCCATCGACCCCTCGTTGATCGAATGGATGCGCCAGGTGACCCACCTCTCCCACGACACGTTCTTCGAAGCAGCCCACAACTGGCAGCGCCTGCTCGCCGGAAGCCGCGACCTCCTTCGGCGCCTCAGCGTCGACCGCCGCGAGGGGAGCGAGAGCCAGCGGTCCCTGGCGGTACAACTCCTGGCGCTTTGTGTCCGACCGCTCAACAAGGCGCCAAGTTGGATGAGCGAGCCAGGCAACGGCCTTTGGATGGCCGTCGTGGAAACCAAGGACACATGGCTGAAGGTGCGCTCTCGGCGGACCAAGGGCGGCACCGACGAGGAGCCCATCGACCATCTGGTTTTGGCTCTCGAGTTGTGCAACATCAAGCATCTCGTGCGGTTCGCGTGCGACCACATGCTCAACGGCGACGCGCAGAACCTGGACTTCCTCTCGTCCTTCACCGCTGAGGTGCTGTGCCGCTACGACGCCTCTCTTTCGGAAGGCCACCGCGAGAAGCCGTGGCTGCAAGACGTCCTCCTCACCTTCCCTTCCCACCTCGCGTCCATACGACGGACTCGCTCACTCTTGTCTTGGACATGAATGCACCCTCCTCTTACTCTCAGTACGATCGACCAAACAACCACAAGCACTCGGCGGGGCACGAAGGTTGGGTTTGTTTCTTGAAATGATCAATTGCCTCTTATTACTTTGCCCCCTCCTCTAACCACACCCACACACCCCGCGCGCCATCTGTTCTCGCCCCCCCTCCGGTTGATCGGCTTAGGCCACAACGGCGACGTTGACGTAGGGCTTGAGCGACACGTCATACAACATGCTAATGGGCAGCCTGAACTTGCCGGCATCAAAGGTCTCCTTGAACTCGCTGATGTGGCGCACCTCGCGGTAGTTCTTGAGGAAGGCGTGCGTGTCCTGCTTGTCCTCGAGCGAGCCAAAGGCGCCATGGGGACCCGGCGCCGACTTGATCGAGGGGATGTTGGACACCTTGACGTACTCAAAGCAACTCATGCCAGTGACGACGTGGCCGGCAAAAGTCGTGAGGCAGTTCGAGGAGAAGCGCTCCGTGGCGTCAAAGTTGAAGAACTCGGAGCGCGTGATGGTGCCGTAGTTGTTGGGGTTGCGGGCCGAATACTTCTCGTAGTAGGTGCCGTAGAAGAAGCGGTCGGACATCTGGCTGCCCTGCTGGTACTCGGTCACGGCCGACGCCGGGTTGTAGTTGAGGCAGAACTCGTTGTAGTTGACGTTCTTCTCGTGCGCCAGCAGGGTGAAGGTGATGTTGAGCACCATGACGGCGGTGCCGGCGCCGAGGTCGATGTAATACTCGGCCACGTAGGTGCCGAGGGCTCGCGAGTAATACTGCACGAAGATGCCGGTGAAGTTGCTGGCCTGGACAAAGTTGTACCGGCCGGTGTTGACTAGCACGTAGCCGGTCACGTTGGTGGAGCCGTAATAGCCCGCCGTGGCCGACCACAGGTTGTCGAGCATGCCCTTGGGGTAGGAGGTGGGCGGCGGGCAGGTCAGGTTGCTCGGGGGCATGGCGGCCGCCGCGGTGCCGGCCAAGGCCAGGATCAGCGCGAGCGCGGCGACGAACTTGAACATGTCGGCGGAGTTGGACTGCATACGAGGTGGCAAAGGACTTTGTCTCTATTGACTGGAAGGCATCCAAAGAGGCATTAAGGGAGGAGGATCGCCAATACCGGGAGAGAGAGAGAAGGAAACGCCCAACCAAGAAGCCTAGGAGACATAGTATCGAGGTTGCCTCGGCGCAAGAGCAGCAGCGGCTAAAGCGGTGTCCAGCGCCAACTTGGCTCTCTCGCCCAGCACTCGGTACGAGTCGGGATCATACTCGCGCAGTCGCGCGATGCGCGTATAGGCCTTGATCTGCTGCGCCTTGCTCTTGATGGAGGGTGCTGGTTCGACGAACCAATCGAATCCGTCGTCCGATATGGAGTCGATTCGGGGGATGAGGCCGTCGCGGGCCAGGTTGCCGGCCATCTCGTTGGCGTGCTTGATAGCGTTCCTCTCGCGCACCTGGAGCGACAGTTCCTCAAAGAGTTGGGGGAAGTAGGTCTTGGCGATGATGGGCGCTGGGAATTGGTTGTCGCGGGCCAGCAAGATGCCAGTGGAGCCCTCCAGCGTCAAACTCTGGCCCGGATCGTCGTAGTTGTCCGCGTCGAACCCGAGCACGGTAAGCGTGGTGTTGGCCGGCAGGTGCCGGGCCATCTGCGCCGCGTCCTCTTCGACGCTCTCGGCGGGCACGAAAGCCGAGAAGGCGATGTGGTTAGGGTCGCTCATGTGCACCACTCCATCCTGGTTGGCGAGTGGGTCGGCTAGAGGGTCGTCGTAGAGGCCCGTACTCCGCCACGTGTTACCCTTGGGATAGAAGTGGTAGGTCTTGAGGTATTGGATGGCAGCGGGCGGGCCGCTAATCTGGTACCGCTGGGCGTAGGAATCCATTTGGGGGGGCTGGCTCCAAACAGAGATGGGTGTTCAAAGGGGAGGAAGGAAGGGTCAAAGGGACGGTTTGCTTGGGGAGGCGAACTATGTGTGCTTTGCCAACAGCCAGCAAACTCCGATGACTTTCCGTAGGTACACCCAGGTTGCGACACGACGAAAAGGGAGGAAAAATAAGGCACAAAGGCACTCCTGGGTCTCGTCTCTCCTCACGTCCGGTGACGCCGTCCGCCGTCGCCATCATCATGCTAACACACCATCGAGGTCCACGTTCCGGTTCATCGCTGATGAGGCGTCGCACTGGCACATGGCAATCTTGAGCGTCGCGGCACGCGGGTCTTGGCGGATAATGTGAGCCAGTTTCAGGCCCTGTTCATACCAGTGCACTGACACCAAGACCAACGTCGTGCGTTGCAAGAGCGCTACCTGGAGGGCCGAAAGAGCCAGTGCCGTGATCAGTGGCTTGGTGGTCTCCGCACTTGCCGTTGTCGATGCCGTTTCGTCCAAAGCACCTCGACTCGACGCGCTCACAAAGAGACAAAGGCTGGAGAGACCGGCGTCCAATGCGCCAAGGCCGGCCAAGGTCGGCCCGTCAAAGTGAAAGTTGCGGTTTTTGGCGCTGCCGTCGATGAGAAGATTGTCCCGTGGTCGGTTCTTGGTCAGCATCTTCTTGAGGTCTCGGGCTTCACTCTGGTAGACCCATGCTCTTCGAGACGCGAGGACCTTCTCTGAAGCCGCCGAAGGGTTGACGTCGACGAGAAGGTCGATGTTGAACCTGGGTCGCTCGCCCTCCAAAGCAGCGATGTGCTCTTGCGAGCAAGCCAACAGCGACCTCGTCTTGTGGTGGGACTGCATGCCCGAGGCGATGATGATCGTGCCCGTTGTGGCCACCGGTGGTTGCAGTGGCGGTGGTAGTGGGTGAGCAGCCGCTGCGCAAAACTTGGAGAGGGCGCGGCTCGACAGAGGCAGAGTGTCGGTGAGGAGGCAAAGACTATCAGCCGCGAAGAGGTTGTGTGCGTTGTCGCCGCCAGGCACGTAGGGGTTGAATGCCGCGGCCAAGGACGAAGCGCACGCAAAGTGGGCCGCAAGAGCGTTGGTAGTGGTGGTCTGTCGCTGGCCACGGCAGGTTGCCACTAGGTCCTTGATCTGCTCGATGCTGCAGGAGAAGCAGCCCAAGGGCCGAATGACGGCGGCATATCGCAGGGCTCTGCACGTCAGCGACAGCCTCAGGACGTCTCGTGCCGCGAGGTAGGAGAGGATTTCGCAAAGCACATCGGTGGCGATGTACGAGAAGACATCGCCGTGCGCGCAACTGGTAGACGCATGGCAGTCCAGCGTGTCGCATACTCTGCGGATCTTGACTAGAGGCGATTGCATGGCCGAGAGATGTTGGCAGTATGAGGTACTTAGGGTTATTTTGTTTTGGAGCGCAAAGACATGGCATGGTGCGTCGAACCCCCCTGCCGGCCAGGCAGCCACACCATAGCCGCATCAGGCACCCAGTCCTGCTTCTGCGATGATCCGGCACAGTGGCCTCGGTGAGGCCACAATTCCGTACACACCTGCACCCTTGGGCATCCCCTTTTGTGTGGTGTGCCTCACCCTTTCTCGACTGACCTGACCGGAGCATCTGGACTGTAACGACAAAGCGTCTTGACATCACCTCCCGCGTTCGTGCCCCGATGGACCCATTCTCCCTCGATGACCAATTCGATCAGCAGCAGCAACACGAGTGGCAAGAGAACGACTGCCAGGATCACTACTTTCAGATCCTCGAGACCGACGGCAACACCTACTCTGAGGTGGCGCTGTTCTACCTCGGCGATGGCAGTGCCGGTGCTCCCGTGCAGTTTGTCCACGGCGTGAGGATCGAGTACAATCCGGCTGCCAAGAAGGACGGTGGCCTCTGCTACAGGCCCATCCAGCGCAACGAAGCCAAGGTGCCTCGTGATCTTGCGCCCTACGGCAGGGTGCTCAGCGACTTTCTCGCAGGTCTCTCTCAGTGGCCACACGCGGACATGGCTGGCACAAGCAAGGCGAAGAAGGCAAAGAACAACAACAACAAAAGGAGGAAGAAGAAGGCCTTTGATGGCCCCGGCGTGCAGGACATCGAAGCCATGATGTTGCCTGTCAACTGGAACGACGTGCCGACGGCGGTGGCATGGTTGGCCGACATGCTCTACATGCCAGAGGCGTGGCGCGACCGCCGACTGAGGACGGCCACCGTGTCGGCCTGCGACCTGACCGATGCGCTGGCCCAACTGTGGGCCTATGTGCTGGCCAACACCGCGCAGCCCATCTTTGCCAAGCCCAGTAGGGCCGACAAGAGGCAGCGTCAAAAGAAGCACGGTCGACCCGTGCTGGACGCCGCCCGCACCTGGCAGGAAGAGTGTGCCAAGAACAAGCCCCTGACGGCCGAGCGCACGGCCCGCCTGGTGCACGCTCTGCGCGTCCTCGGAGTGCCGGACGCAGAAGACCTGGCTGTGGCCAGTCCCGCCTTCCTGTGTGCCGCCGGCGCTGAAGCGGCCCTCGCTGGCGCCGTGCTCGACAAGTACCATGTGGAGCCCTTCAATGGGCCGCTCAGGACATCCATCCCTGTCGACGTCTTCCAGGCGTGGTCGGTCGCGATGCAAGACCCCGCTGCCACCACCAGCCACCAGCGGGGGCTGCTCTACTTTACGGCCTTTACCAACGGCGTGCCGGTGACCGCCGAAGACGAAGCCGACATCGAAAGGATGGCCGCTCGACTGACGGCGATCGTCTTGCAGGAACACATCGACGAGTAGGCAAAACCCTGTTCTCCGTATGCATGACCCTTGAAATGCAGTCCCTTGCCGTCCCCCCATCTAGCAGAAAGAAAGACCAGAAAGAGTCTCTGTTCCTTGCGCGCTCTTGAAAGAGCCATAGACAAAGATGTGAGAGGAGTGCCTACGAGGAGACGCTAGCACAATTGGCCGAGGGCTGGGACATTGACGAGATCGCTCGTCGTTGGCCTGAAACACATCACATGCCCGGTTTGGACAGCGAGAGCCACAGCATCGCCATGGCCGACTATCGCGTGTCCTACGTCGCCCGCTGGTTGGACGACATGAAGGCCGTCGCGGAAGCCGAAGCCAGCGGCGTCGACCCCAAGACCATCACCATGCCCGGCACGGCGCGCTGGCAGCACGTCTATCGTCGTCCGCGCGCCTGCAAAAGCATCGTCTCGCGACTCCAGCGGTGGTGCGACGACAGCAAGGCTCCCTTCCTAGCCGCCACCTCGGTGTTGCCGCCGTGCCCTTCCGGCGTGACCATGCGCGACCGCAACCGCCTCATCCACTGCGTGTTGGGTTCGGCGTTGGACGCGGTGCGCGCAGAGCTCAAGTTCATCGACAAGAGTCTAGTCGGACTCAAGTGCTACCACGCCGACGTCGATGAGCCCGGCAGAGCCACCCTCGGTCTCCCTACCACACAGCGCCTGTAGTTTGTGCTGGCGTGTATCCAAGCCCAGCTCTCTGTCTTTTTTCTTCCTTCCCCCCTCGCCCAATACACCACTCAGTCCGACTCTGTTTCATCGCATTCCGCGTCCGCCAGGCCGAGATTGTCTTCCACCTTGTCCAGAGCCGAGTGTAGGCTGTCGTGCCCGGCCTTGTCGCCTTGGGCCTTGCCCAGCAGCAGCAACTCGTCGATCATGTTGGCGGCTTGGTTTCGTTGTCCGCGGCACCCGCCGGGTTCAGACCCGGCCAGGGCGAGGCTGGTTTCGTCGGTCAGCATCTCGTAGGTGACAGCCAAGAAGGAATGTAAGTGGGAAGGGCCGTTGGCGGCGTCCTCGTGTATGGCAACGTCGTACAAGGTGCACACCGTGTGGAGCATGTAGGCCCAAAGTGCGCACGGTCGGCGCGTGGCGCTCGCGACAGCATGTCGAAATTGGTGCTTTGCCCTGTGCATGTCCGGTGCCGCCGTTTCCCCTCCGCCAGGATAGCCGCCGTGTGCGCGGTGGCGGTAATCGGCGACGGCCGTTGTGTAGGCGTTGGCCGCGCGAGCCTTGGCGAGCATGCATATACTCAGTGCCGAGAGGTCGGTGGTGGCCTCCATGACTTGGTCACATGCAGGTAGGTAGGTGGACAACACCCACTCGCCAAAGGCCAGACGCTTGACGGGCGACATGGCCGAGTGCTGGTCCGACCCGGCCAGCCGACGCATGTATCTGTCAATCCACTCGTGGGCAGCACCGAGGAAGTCATCCTTGTAGGGGCGGGGCGGCTTGGCGCCAACAAGTCTCCGTGCTTCCGTCCCCTCCATGGGCGTGTAGCCTCGAGGCGCCTCCTCTTCCTCCCGTCCTCGTGGACGCGTTCTTCGTACCTCGGCACCTGTTTCGCGCGACGCTGGGCCGTGGTCAAGCACCCGCCAAGACGGCAACGTAGCACGCGGTCCGCGCAAAATGGTACAACTCCGAGTCGTTTTGGTCGACGTCATTGCCGCACGACCCAGTCAGATGCTGCCGCAGTTGAAGGCCCGCCGTCGGCATCGTCGTGATGAGCGGGAAGAGGTACCAGCGCGCCACGTCTTGAGCAACCTCCGCCAGGCAAGTTTCCACCGTAGGGTCGATCTCCTCTCGCACCGACGAAGCCATGAGCATCATCATGACACAGGGGTCCGATGTGGTTGTTTGCAGCGGCGGCGGTCGCATCGCCTTCCACTCTGCCGTCGGTCAGTATGAAGGTCGGCTCCCACCAGCGCCAAATGATGGGGTGGCTCTTGGGATGGGATGCGCCATGTGGCGCTTGTAGCATTGCCATGCCCGCCTCCCGGCCAAGGCAGCCACGGTCCACAAGCATGACGCAGCCATAGGGCGAGGAGTATTGCGCATGGTGCGCGCCCACAGGAGGGAAGCGTAAAGCACGAGGCCATTGACGGCTCCGCTTGTGAGCCTGGGGTGGGCTACGCCGTTGGCCGTCGCATAGGCTGCCAGAACCCGTCGGCTGACAGTGCCATCGACACTTTCTCGCTGGCCCAAGACAAGCCTGCGCGCGCTGCGGCAGGTCGCCACAAAGGCCCAGGCGTGCTTCTCACCTGTCAGACCAGCATTAATGTGACCCACGGTTGGGTTGAACCTGCCGTCACACCCAAGGGCTCACGTCTGGGCGAATGTCAAGAAAGGAGAATCCAGAGTGCTGCGAGTGTGACTAACTCCGTATATTAGTGCTGGGGGCAAGTGGCCATAGGAACGTTCTCCCGTTGTCTTTCCCTCTCGCTCAACTCTGCATTCTGTCCTTCCTTCCGCCGCGCGACCTCGCCTCCCTCGCCTCGACGTCCCCAGAGGCCGGACGAGACTGCCGCCCATTTGTCCCTTGCGATCCAACTGTGCCTTGCCTACTGCAAAAGACTCGAGGATGGCGAGGAGAAGACGTGGTTCGCTGAAGTCATGACCTTCTTCCCTTCCCACTTTGCCGCCGGCCAGAAGGGGCGTCTCCTCTTGGCGCAATAGATTTGGGAATGAAATGAAGCAGAAGGAGGGAGACAGCAGGGTGTCTATATGTCGTCCAAGGAGATCGAGGAGGCTCAGGTATTTCGTGTGCAAGAGAGGCTCGTGCTCCTGGCGAGGGCGTGGTACCGTTTCCGTCCTCCGCCTCCGCCTTGAATGTGGGAGGGAGGAGCAGACAAGGTGTAGTGTTGAGTTGAATCCACTCTGCTAAGGTTGTCCACCACCGCCGTGGCCTACCGTGAAGAGAAGCGCCAGTCATACGAGAAAAGGAGGAGGCGTGCGGCCAAGGCAAGCGCGCCTGTCTCCGGGAGGAGATCCGGCCTCTGGTGCTGAACACCGTCGCGCCCACTGCCGGTCTCTGTATGCTTTCCTTCCTCTCGCCGCGAGACCTCGCCTCAACTAGCAGACCGCTGCGTAGGCTCCACCGTTCGACGGCGCCATCGGAGCACGGGGGCAAGATGCTAACTCCTCCTCCTCAGCCACGCGAAGGAGGACGATCATCGTCTGCAACTAGCGTTGGGCTACGCCACAACACTGGCCGCGCCTCGCAACCGGTTTTGGACCGTAGTCATGGAGACGGCCGACCTCTGGCCGGAGGAGCCACCTCGCAACCAACGGTGTACCGACCTACGACGGCGGCGACGACATCTTCATGGGCCAACTCCTTGCCACCTTCAATAGCAACACCATCAAATCTCTGCTGGGGAACAGACAGGACTCCATCCTTCTCCTGGTGGACCTCGAGTCGTTCGCCGTAGGCACGGGTGCATCGCTAGGGCCGTGTGCGCGTCGATCTCATGTGGCTAAACGAGGTCATGGCCTTGGAATCTTCTCACTTAGCCGACAGCCGAAAGGCTCTCCTCCTCTTGGCACTATACACTTCTCATAGTTAGGGTTAGAGTTAAGATCCAGCGGCGCGCGAGGAGAACTAAGGTTGAGCGCGGCGGAGGGGGGAAGCAGTTTGTGATTGTAAAAAGGCGAGAGAGACATGCTTGGGCCTAAGCAACGACCTTTGACAAAGAGTTAGCGGGCGTGGTTGTGCAGCATGCTCACGGGCAGCCTGAACTTGCCGGCGTCAAAGGTCTCCTTGAACTCGCTGATGTGGCGCACCTCGCGGTAGTTACTGAGGAAGGTTTTGCGTGGGGTGTCCTCCTTCTGGTCAGGAGTGCCAAAGGCGCCGTTGAGGTTGGTTATTTCCGTCGAAATCAGTCGGCTGTGACGCTGTTCACTAGTCTGGCAACCGTCGAGGCGTTCACACTGGTACATGGAAGAAGGGGGACAAGGTCGCCCCCAATGGCTCTGACCCTGGCCCTGGTGTCCAGACCATCGCAGAGATGATGCTGTCGATGGACTGGAGCGATGTGCCGTCGGATGTTGCGCTGGTGACCGACAGCCTCTACATGCCGGAGGCGTGGCTGAGGTCAGCCGTGTTGGACGCCGCCCGCACCTGGCGGCAAGAATGTGCCAAGAACAAGCCCCTGACGGGGGAGACGTCCATGCCCTCCGTACTCGGGATAGAGGATGCAGACGCCATGGCGACGGCCAACCCCGCCTTCCTCTGTGCCGCCGGAGCCGAGGTCGCCATCGCGGGTGCCGTCCTCGCCAAGTACGACGTGGAGCCCTACTCCGGTCCCCTGAGGACGTCCATCCTGGTCGACGTGTTCCGGGCATGATCGACCGCCATGCAGGACCCGGCCGCCGTCACGAGCCAGCAACGTAACCTCCTCTACTCTACGGCCTTTATCAACGGTGCGTGCCCGTGCCCGCGCAGGACGAAGCAGACGGATGGCCGCCAGGCTGACATCCATCGGGTTGCGTGAGCATATTGACTAGAGCAGTTGAGGTACCGCGGCTGAATATTCATAGCGCCAACTTGGCAGCATTTCTGCGGTGGTTATTAATAACAAAAGCCCTTGGCAACTGGCCTGAAGGAGTCGCGACCATGTGCTTGGAGTCACCAGTAATAATAGTAAATAGCAACGAATAGGATTCTATGGGGTTTTTGACACCTGTCTCTCCTTCCCGTCAGTGAGGGACATGGTGGTCGGTAACAGCAGCGCCAGGTCATTCATGCCTCCTCTATCGTTATTGTTTTTGCTGCGGTCTGATGTTTTGATTTGGACAGGAGGCAGCCACTGTGGAGGCTGTCGATAGGTTGATCGACAAGATAGAAGAACTAATGAATCAGAATGATAAACAGCGCCAGCCAACCAAGTTCAACGTGCTCGAGTTGCAGCAACCTACCCCACGAACCCCCCGCCAAGTACCGCAGTCTACTTCTGGCATGCAATTCGAGAAGGTCTTGGAGAGCTATGCTGAATTGGTTAGTGCGTGCGACCCCTACCAGGAGACAGTCCGTCAGCGTGCCCTGGGTCATTTGCGAGGTAAAAACTACCACGTAGAGGTCGAAGAAGGCATTAACTGGACCGTCACCCCGGAAGCCTAACAATAAACAGCAGAAACTTGATCGATATGGTCTTTATGTCACAGCAGCCAGGTCCACTGCCCTTGGACGCCGACTGTGCAAGATGGTCTTTGCCAACACCAAGGCCACCCGCGACCTCCGCGCTCTCGGTGGTCGCTGAGGCCGCCCCGTAGGCATTGGAGGCCCGAAGGGTCGCCGTCACGCAAAGGCCCAGGCAGGGGCGTTGTTGGCTTCCATGATGTCGTCGCAGATGGGCAAGTAGGTCGCCATCACCCAGGATGCGAAGGCCAGTCGCTTGGTGTGGGCCATGTCCGGCGTGTTGGTCAGCTCCGGCCATCGGGCGGGCGTATCTGTCTGACCATTCGTGGGTCGCACCGATGAAGTCGTCCTTGTAGGGTCTGGCCGGTACGGCAGACATGAGCGCCAGTCAGTCCGAATGCTTCCACTCCGCCAACTGGCGCCTCCTCTTCTTCCTTTCCTTACTCGAGTGTTCCTCCCTTGGCGCGCGGGTCTCTCCAGCCTTGGTCAGACACCCGCCGAGGCTCGCAATAGCACACCGTCCTCGTGAACCGGTGGCACAGGCGGTAGTTGTCTTGGTCTCTCCCGAGGGGAGGGATGGAAGCACACAGGTGCTGCCGCAGTTCGTGGCACACCGTCGGCATCCTCGTCATCAGGGGCAGGACATACCAGCGCGCCACGTCATGCCGACGAGATCATATAGGCTTGCGAAAGTATGCCCTTCTTGGAGGGCCACGAGGGGAGGGTCGTCGCGACCGCTGCCTTGTCCGTCTGGACCCAAGAACCCAAGGCCGTAAACTTCCACACCTCCTCGCTTTCAGTCGTCATGCGTGTGCGCGCGCGAGTGCGGTAGACGAAGTTGGACCAAAACTACCTCCCTGGGCTTGGTGACCAAAGGTCGGCGGACAGCACCAGCACCTTTGGGGAAGCGCGACGTGCCGTTATCACAACCAGTACCAACTGGGCTCCTTCTGGGGTTGTACAACACCTTCCGCAAGCACATGGCCAACCGAAGCCAACGCCGCCCAATGTCAGACCACGAAGGTGTCCTACTTCTCGGTGTTGCCGGAAGTGAGGCAAGAGAGGCACAAAGAAACGTGGCAGCCTGTCGGGCCTAAACCCAACCCTACACCTAAACCCGAACCCACCACTTTGCCCTCTCTACTGTGCATCCCTGTTCTCCCTCTCCCCTTCCCAACCGCCCAGGCCATCTGTTTGCCAGCGGGATTCAGCATAACGGGAGGACGGATGCAACTTCATTGTAGCATGAGGAGCAACGGACGCAGGGTCACGGGGAGATGGCGAGTTTGCACGATGCCGACACAGTTGGCATATAATGGTGCGGCGGTCGGCAGTTCCTTGGGCAGAAGAGAAACCGTCAGCGAAGATGGTTGCATTGCCATCCGCGAGATCGTCTTCGTCGTCGTTGCTGTAGATATTACTAGCACAGGCCGCGTCGAAACCTCCAAGCGACGAAGACGGTCCGACCGTCGATAGAGGCGCCGGGCGTTGCGGTCGGGTTGGATTCACATGGCACGTGGTGCAGCGGCTCGAGGGAACTGACCGCCAGGACGACGAGGTCGTGAATGGTACTGGCTGAAGTCAACTTGGCTTCGGTGGTGTGGTCTTTGCCGTTCAACCGGCGCAACTCCTACAGAACTTGAGGCCTCCATCTCGCCATAGTTGGCCACCGTGTAGGACTTAGCGGCCGCGGCGGGCCGCAGTTGGGACTTAGGCGTCAAACTCCTTCCTGTGGTTCTCCTGTCTTGTGCAGCCCAACAGAGGATGTCGTGGAGTCCCGCTCACCCTGTTGTGCTAGCCATGGTGGTGGAACGCGAGGCTTCCAGCAATGTCCCCATGTCTTCGCGAGAGAGGGTGTCGTGGTACTCGGCCACATAGGCGTCCACGATCGAACATGCTCTGCTGTGGTGGTAGTTGCCTTTGACATAGTAGAGCGCGATCCTGGCGACGATGATTTCGGCGCCCGCCACCTCGGCCGCTAAGTCTCATAGGTAGAGTGTTGTATGCGCCGTCGAAGGTGGGTCTGACGCTGTTGGAGTGCTTGTCGCGAAACCCGAAGAAGCGATAGGCCCTTTCGACCCCGAAACTCTCCCAAAGTGGTTCTCTCTCGCTTGCCTCCCAGCGGTCGGCGCCACAACCTCCTGGTTCATCATTGTAGGCCCACCCTCCGCCCCTCGTCGAAGTATTGGTTGACTTGCACAATGGAATCCTACCCGTTGGCCGCCATCTTCTCGCGTGCAGTGGGCAACCGCATCCTGACGTGGCAATCTGTCCATCCGGATTCTCGTCCCTCAAGTAGTCAAATGTCGCTCCCTCCAAGAAGCGTCGCCGCAGCGGCCAGCATTCGTTTGCCCTCGCCCCTACCACCGCCACCACCTGTCCCCCACCCAACATGTTGCCAAACTTTTCTATTGAGTTGTGAAGACTGTTCTGTTCTACATTGAGAAGACGATCTCGCTTGCCCCAGTTCCTCGTGTAACAGTGTGCGTCGCCAACATTGACATCAAGGGAGAGTGGCGAGCGTCTCCGAGCGAAATTGAAACCACTTTGTCGCCGACAAACGACACTGTAACACGGATGCCGTGGGGTCACCACTAGCCAGGAACTTGTTGATGCACGCCCGAGGCCAGGACATCTTGTCGTTGTTGGTGGCGCCATCCTCGCCGTCCTCGTTGCTGTCGCACCACGACAAACCCAACAAGCGAGCCACGGCCGCGAACGCCTGTGAGCCCTCGTCCTTTAACCGGTCTCGAAGGGTGAAGGGGTCCTGGTCATCGTCGTCGTCATCCGCGGCCCACGCTTCGGCATCAGACAGTCGCTGCATGCTTTCGAACACGCCGAGCATGGTCAGGCAAATGATGAAGAGTGACTTTCGCCAGCCGGGTTCGCCCAGAGTGTGGTGGCGTTCGATGAGAGCGGCGGATCTCGCGACCAAGTCGTAGCCGGTGGGCGGCCTCAAGCGCTGCTCCAGACTCGTGGGGCACATGAGCTCGCCAGGGCGAAGCGGCCTTCTTGCCACGACCGCAAGGCAATCAACGACGCCAGGCGGCGGCGAGGTGCTGCCTTGGTCCTGCTCCAGTGCACTGACGATGTGCTGGACGCAGGTCACAGCGAGGACATACTCGTGCCCCATGCTTGTCGTAGCGTGCGTCCCACAATCCGCCAGGGACGCGATGCGCCCGTGAATGTCGGCGTGGTACTGGTGAAGATCCGGCCGGAGGCAGGCGCGCGTGTCGGCTCCGCAGTCGAGCGCGCCGAGCATGGAGTGGTGCGATATGAAGACACACGAATGATCGCGGACGTTGAAACAGGCCGTGGCCTCGTGCCGGAGGTTGCGGATGTGCCTGGCTATGGCCTCCAGGGCCAAGGGGTGGCCTTGTCCGCGCACGCACTCGATGGCGAGGGCCTCCACCGTGGAGCAGGTGCCGTGCTCGCGCCGCACTTGGTCGAGGGTGTCGTCGCTGGCGTCAGACCGGGGCCTGCGAGCGTGCCATTGTGGAAGCAGGCTGGGAGGCAGACGAGGTGCAAAGATGGCGACGGTTTTGGCAGCCCGCAAGGCCCTCTCAAGGACACGCAGCAGAAGGTCAAGGGCCTGTGTGGAATCCACGTAGTCGGCGAAGTCGGCATCCGAGGTCCTGGCGATGACACGGCGTAGAAGAATGCCGGTCAACTTGGTGGCGCGTGAGTACCCCTCAGTCCAGTCCCAGAATTTTCGTCGTTGCTCTTGCTTGTGGCCGGTGGCGGTGTTGTTGTCCGGTGAGCCCTTCAGAGTGGCAATGGCGTCGAGCGATGGCGTCGTCGTCTGTAGTTCCCACAGCGGTGACAGCAGGGGAAGTGATGATATGGCGTGCCAGCAGATCCAACTGAGAAACACAGAAAAAGAGAGAGAGAGAGAGGCGGGCAAAGTCCCGCCATGAAGTAGAACCATGGTTGGACCAAATTCGCGAGGATGTCTTGTTCTAGCGCCCATAGCGCGAAAGGGGGAAGTGTTTCCTACTTCCAGTCCTTTCCGTGAGTCGGCGAATGAAAAAGTCCATGCCGCCGTCACGACCGCGGTCACGACGGCGAGCTCCTCGGCGGCGACGGGCTATGTCGACATCCGACCCAACAGAGAGAAGGAAGGCGAGTGGGAGCGTACGAGTCGCCTGTGCGGGCGGGGGACGGCGGTGTCGATGGACACAAGCACACCTCCGCCCCCGATGCTCTCGCGCGTGCGCGTGTACCAGTTGGCGGGGGTACCATGTGCTGGCCAAAGATGCCATAGCGAGAGACACACCAAAGCGCAAGGGCTGTTTGCCGCCTGAGTGTATTCGGTTTCTCTCGTCCTCCCCCACCCGTCTCCTTGCCCGCCCATCGACTTGGCGCTTGCGCCTCCCCCTTCTCCCTCTTGCCCACCTCCGCAACCGTGCCCTCGCGTTCTCCTCTGCTCCTCTGCTCCTCACCACCCACGCATCCACCTCCCCCACCACTCACCGGAGGGTTGACCCCTCGTTCTACAACAAGGTAGTAGTCAAACACACGCCCGTGATCTACTTTCAAAGCACACGATGACGGACCACATCCTGTCCTCCGCGTCGCACCACTACAACAATGTGATCAACGACAGCGCCGTGAGCCTGGTCGACATGCTCCGGTCGTCGTCCTCCTCGGCGGGGGCGGTTCCGGGTGCGGCGGCGGCGGCGCAGGGCGGCGGCGACAAGGTGGCCAAGATCCTCAGCGAGGGCTACAAGTCCAACCTCTTTCGCCTGCGGTTCTGCAAGGTGGGCGACTTCATGATGTCATCGCACAACCAGGCCTTCAACGAGGGCGAGGTGGCCTTTGGCGGCACCGCCACGTGCACGCTCAAGCGCCTGGGCCACATGATCTACCACACCTACCTGGTGATCGACCTTCCAGGCATCAAGGCGGCGCGGCGCGCGGCCGGCGCGGGCACCGGCGACTGCTCGCTCGACTACCCGTCCGAGTACCCCGTCGAGGGCGAGATCCTCAAGCGCGCCGACGAGAAGGCCTTTGCCCGCTACGCCGCCGAGCGCACGGGCAAGGCCGCCACGGCCAGGGCGGGCAAGAAGATCTACAACGCCGAGGCCTACGGCAGCAACAAGGGCGTGGGCGACGCCGCCACCTCGTTCGATCCCGTCGAGCAGTCCATCCTGGGGTTCGACCGCTCCTTCGAGCAGTCGCGGCCCGTCGACAAGAAGTCCTCGTCGCGCTCCCCGGAGAAGAGGGTGCGCGGCTGGGTGCGCTGGTGTAATGCCATCGGCCAGTACCTGCCGGAGATGACGACCATGATCGTCGAGGACAAGAACTGGAACAGCCTTATCAACCTGTGGCTCTACGGCTGGGAGGAGGTGGCCGGCTACGCCGGCAAGGAGCTCAACGAGCACATCGGCAAGCGCGAGAACTGGAAGCAGTTGGTGCTCGACTCGGCCGACCGCCAGCGCCTCTACACGCCGCTGCCCTTCTTCTACACCCTGTGCGCCGGGTGCGTGTTCCCCTACGGCCAGATGAACAAGCACAACGCCAGCAGCGTGGTCAAGATTGAGGTCAAGTTCGCCGCGCTCAACCGGTGCATCGTCACATCGGGCCACGACATCGTGCCGGTCAAGGCCGACGGCCACCGCCTCACGGCCAAGGACCTCGCCGCCCACCTGCGCGTCACCTACGTGCACCTCAACGAGAACGACGCGCGCACCTTCACCAACGGCAACCAGATCCTGGTCATCACGCGCGTGCAGCACAACATCGTCACGCTGCCGCGCGGCCAGCAGCGCGTCGACGTGCCGGTGCCGCTCGGGGGTCCGCTCATCAGCCTCATGTGGATGCTGCGGCGCAAGGCCAGCGTCGAGCAGAACTCGCACTTTAACTTCGCCGGCGTCAACGGGCGCGACCCGCTGCTGTCCAACGTGTTCTACGTTGACAACAAGCCTCTCTTTGGAGAGGGCGACGAGGCGCGGGTCTACCGCATGCTGGAGCCGCTGCAGTCGTTCCGCAAGACGCCCAAGGGCTACATCTATGTCAAGTCCTTTGCCTGCGACGGCACGGCCGTGGTGCCCAACGGCATGCTCAGCCTCAAGGACCGCCGCGCCTTCATGCGCCTCATCCTCCAGCAGGCGCTGGTCGCCGAGGAGGTCGAGTTCATCATGATGGGCCGCAGTTTCGACGTCGCCGTCTTTGACAACCACCACCCTAGCCTGCTGGGCGACGACGTTGTGTGCCAGGCGTAAGGTTGCCGGCCCGCTCTTTGCCCTGCTGTCCCCTTTCCAGAACGAGCATGGTTGGTCAAGAAAAAAACAACAAAACCAAAATCTTTACTGTCTCCCCCCTCCCCACGCCATGGTGGGCCGTTTCTCAGGGGTGGTGCGGCGAGAGGATTAAGTCGTGCTGGGAGAGGCCACTGTCCATCCCGCATCCGCAATGTATTGATCTGTCCAAGGGAAGCACAGAGAGGGCACATTGGCCTCGCTGTAGTAGGGCGATCCGCGAAAGGCGGTTCCTGGCACGTGATCAAAGAGGTGACGGATGAGGCGATAGGCGTCGATGCGCGATTCTGGCCGGCAGCACACGGTGACGATGGTGCGGTTGAACAGGGGCCAGAAGGTCACCACCAGCCCTACACCGGATAGGCTTTTGTCGGCCAGGGCGCACACGGTGTCTAAACCTGGCGTGTAGCAGCAACCCATGAGGATCTCTGTGGGTTCTTCCTGCTGGTGGTCATAGTGGTCCTCTCGAGGTGCGCCGCTGCTGCCACAAGAGGAGGATTTGTCGCCGCCTCGGGAGGCCGCAAAGTCGTCGATGCGAGGCAACAAAGGCCGCCAGGTCGAACCCGGCAGCACGATCCGCACGAGTTTGGCCTCGCGCACGCGTGCATCAACAAGGGGAAAGTGGAAGTCGCGTATCTGCCGGCCACGCTTCTTGACCGCAGCAATGTCGATCTGCCCCATGAGCACGGCATAGAACCTGTGGAAGGTGCGCTCGTGGTCGTTGTCCACAATGCCGTAGTAAAAGTCCTTCATGTCGGCATTGGGGAAGTCGCAATCTAGCGACTCGAGCCGGCCCACGATTTCGTCTATGATGGCCTTGCGCCAGCCTAGGGACGCCAGTTCCAGCACGCTGTTTGTGGGCACCAACCGGGTGTTGCGCGGTCGGTGCTGCACCGCCAGCCTTTCGACATTGTCGCGGGAGCACACGCACACGACGTTCTTAAAGCGCGTCTCCAGGTGCTGGTAGGTGGACGACGGCAGATAGTGCTCGCCGATGACCACCAACTGCGTCGTCTCCCAGTGGTACATGGGGATGGTGGCGTGGTAGGCCAACTGGTCCACAAGGGCCGACGCCTCATTGAGATCCGGCGTGAGGACGATGGAGAAGCGTGTGCGATCCTTGTCCGCCGCGACCAAGGTGGCTGCGAGGAAGGATTCGACGTGGTCGTTCTTGCGGCCCACGATGATGGTCGGAGTTGGCCGCATGTTGGGTCCTTTTACTTGGGACTGACGTGGCGAAAGAAGAAGAAGAAGAAGCGGAACCAAATGAAGCCCACCAACAACACTTGGTTCTCTTCTTGTGCTAGAGATGAGCGGACGAGTTTGTTTATTCACCACTGCTGTGGCTGTTTGGCGAAGGTAAATGCTTTCCGCGTTGACATTGGAGCAGCGCAGCGGCAGCAGTCCCCTCGCTCTCTCCCCTGGTACGACTAACGTTGAGGTCCTCAAGATATTTGGATGCAAGCAAACCGCCTGGCGTTTGTTCGAGGTCAATCATCGTTCAAAAACAGTATGGTGTCACGAAGGTCTTCACCCGCGGCGGCAAATACTTGCAACGTGATGCTTCTGGTGGCTCCGGTCATATCCATGATCAACCTGACGTCGTCCTCGTCGTCATCGGTTGTGGGCACAAAGAGGTCGCAATCCTCCTCCAGCCTTTGGCGGATCGCGGCGACGCATGTGAGGTCTTCAACTTGCCTCCGAGGACCGGCTCCTGGATTGTCCGCGTCGTGGTTTCGTCATGTTGTCTCTGTGTCCGCAATACGAGGATGGCAAGGATCTCCTCTTGTCGTTGCTATTGATGGTGGCGAAAGGTTGGAGGGCGGGGGGGGATTGATTTATGCTAACAAGGAGTTTGTGACAAATAAGGGCGGTGGAAGGAGTTGGCTGCTAAGCGCTATGCCAAAAAAACGGGAACGGCGGCTCTAGGGCTGCTGCACTGCGTCGATACGGAAGATGGTGGGGCCGCTTCCAGTGGTGGCGGGGTCGGTCGAGTCAAAGACGACGTAGCCGGTGGCCGGGTTGACGCGCGCATAGGTGGTGGGGCTGAGGCGCGCATCGAGCAACTTGATGGGTTGGCCGCTATAATAGTATTGCGTGCTGTCGCCGCTGCCCGTGCCTTCAACCTTGAGCATGGAGAACCAGCCGCTGGTGCTTCGGCTGCCGGCGCAGAACGTGGTCCAGTTGGTTTAGCCTGCCTTGGCGTTCGGGATGCACCAGTTGTAGGCCGACAGCGGGTTGAGGATGGCGGGGATCGACGGGGTCTGGACCCAATCCTGCGACACGATGGACGGATCGGTGCCCGTGAGGGCAAAGGTGGTGTTGGCGGTCGCGGCGCCGCACTTGAGCGGACGGTTGACGGGGTCGCTGTAGTCGATGTTGCAATAGCCCGACACGTTGAGGCTGTAGAGTTTCCACGTGTACTGGTACTTGAGCGGCATCTCGGTTCTCTTGGAGAAGGCGGGGCCGGGACCAGGAGCAGCACCAGCAGCACCGAGGCCGACAAAGACGCACAGAAGGGCGACGGCGATCACGGCGCCAAACTTGAGGTCTAGTCCAGTCATTGTGTTCGGTTGACCGTGACAAAGGCGTGGGCAGAGGCGGTGACGGATGGGTCGGTGGAGGGGAGGAATGTGCAGAGAAGCGAGGCTGATAGTTTGGTGGTTTGGTGGTGTGGCGGTATGAAGAGCACTATCGCACGTCGTCGCTACTTATGGATGAGGCGGGCTCGTGTAAGGAGAGAGGGTGATCTGGATACGTTCAGTTGATCCGAGACAACCCTCCCCCTTGCAATGGCGCGGACGAACGCCAGTGGAGGCTAAGTTCGTCGCTGGTTCGCAATTGGCCGAAAACGTTGCCGTCATGACGTCATGGCTATTGTGAGCGGCGACGCCCTGATGCCCTTCATCTAATCCCGAGACGTGGGGGTCGCGCTAATCTTCTGGGAGCGTTATCCTTCCCGTATGGGTTTTTCATTGCCACTGTTTTCTGGCGGCCTCTCTCGGCTGTTGGCTGTGCGGGAGGAAACGCTCGTCGTCGGAATTGCTGTCTCTTTCGCGTGCGGCGGCGCAGACTCTGACTGGCGCCGCTGCCCATCTCCCTCTCGTCCGTTCTTCAACCAGGAGCAAGCAGGTCAGCAAATGACAGAGCAGCGCGAGTCATGTGCGCCCTTCCATCGGAGATGCGGGCGGCCATCTTCGACCACCTTGATCGTGCTCGCGATGTTGTTGCTCTGTATATCGCTTCCCGTGCCGTGCTCACATGGCCGTTGGCCGTCGAAGTCGCCAAACGCCTCAAGAACCGCAAGCCGTGGGCCGTCCTGGCAGCCGGTGCGCCGCTCGGTGTGTTGCAGCACCTGAAGGACAAAGATGGCTTCGAGGCCGGCCACTGGCCTATGTTGGCGCGAACGTTGCTCGGCAAGGCCGTAAGCGGGGGCCACCTTGATGTGGTGCGATGGCTTTGCACGATCGGCGACATCATAAACACCCGCACACCCTACATATATCCACGACGCCGGCTTCGCGCCGTTCAGCCAATGGAACGCGGTGGCCACCGCCGTGACACACGGCTACTACCGCTGCTCCATCGCCCAGATCATCGCCAAGGGAGGCATAGTGGACCGCGAGGCCCTCGAAGCCGTGTTGCCTCAAGGAACAGCCGACAGCACGCTGAAACTACTTATCAGACATTCTCGTCTCGACGAGCGCAGCACCCCACACACTTGCAAGAGTGACCCCTCTCGGTGGGATAGGCCATTTCGCTACGGCATCCCTTTGAACGAATACTATAAGCCAGGTCTAATTAGATTTGTTGAATCATGCCCCTTTTGTTTCGCGGCGGTTGGTGTAGCACCTCAAACCTTGCTGCTGGGGCGATTTCAGCGCCCTGCGCCACCGCCTCCTCGAGTCGGGTTGAGTATGTCGCCATCCCCAGCAAGACGATCGAAAGGTTTGACGGCGCTTTGGCGGACATGTCGTGTGTGCGTGGGGCGACTGCAAGTGGGGAATGGAGCGACGTTCACTGTCCAGAGGTCACCAATACCAGAGAGTCTGTTGGAAGTTTGGCGATAAATGCTCCTCGCGTATTAACAAGCCCAGGTTTCAAGAAAGATGGATTAACATTGGCTTTTAGGGGGGGTGGCTAAATGACCAGAGTGTCCAAGGCGCGTTTGCCTTTGCCCTTCCTCTTGCTGTGGCATGGCTGGCTGCCGCCGTCGATGTCCGAGTTGGAGTCGCTCTGGTCATACTGGCCCTCGATGTCGTCCTCGTCGTCGTCAGAGACGTCGTCGCTCAACTCGGGCAGGCGGTGGCGGGCCAAGTCGTCGCTGCCGACGTTGTCGTGGGCGGCATTGCGGGTGGCGGCCATCCGCTTGAGTTGGCTCGCGATTTCTATCATCGAGGGGCGGTCGGCAGGGTCCTCGGCCCAGCATCGCACCATCAGCGAGCGGTAGTCGTTGGGCGTGTCCAGAGGGATGGACGGCCGCTCGCCTTCCAACACCTGCAGCGATATGGACATGGTCGGCAGGCCGGCAAAGGGCCTGCGTCTCGTGAGCACCTCCCACATGAGGATGCCGAACGAGTAGACGTCGCTGCGGTCGGTGCGCTTGCCCCCGCGGATGATCTCTGGCGCCGTCCAGGCCGGCGTGCCGCCTCGGGTGGTGGTGCGCGCCTGGTTCTTGGTGTGGGCCATGCCAAAGTCGCACACCTTGATGGTGGGGAGGCTGTTCTCCACGGGCTCTACCAGCAGGTTGGCTGCCTTGACATCGCAGTGGTGGATGCCCTTGCGGTGGAGGTGGCGCAGGCCCTTGGCGGCCCCGAGCAGCATGCTGATGCGCGCTCGCATGTCAAACGCCACCGAGCCGCTGCTGCCGCCACCGCCGCGACTTCCTTGTCTGCCGCCGTCGAGGTGGCTACGGAGGCTGCCGCCAGAGATGTACTCGGTGACGATGCAGAGACGGGGCTCCTGGATGCAGGCGCCGACGAACCTGACCACGTTGCGGTGTTCGACGGTCGAGAGAACGGCCGTCTCCGAGAGGAGGCGCTGGATGGCTTCCTCGCTCCGGCGGTTGATGTAGATGAGGCGCTTTACCGCCACCTTGCTGCCCTTCCATCGGCCCTTGTGCACCTGGCCGTAGGAGCCGCTGCCGATGACGCGCACGTCGATGCTGAGGTCCTCGTAGGCGATGAAGCACGGGCACAGGCGCACAGATCCCAAGTAGGCCAGTCGCTTGTCTCGCGCGCCATAGGTTGTCCCTCTGGAGTGTCCGTCGCCGCCATCGTCGTCGTCGGCGTCATCATCGCCATCACCTCCCTCTCCGCCGACCTGCCACGGGGGCACTTGGCCCCAGGCAGGCTCGCGGGTGATGCTCTCGACGGCGGCCCCTCCGGCCAAGGCATCCTCGCCGTCGTTGGCGTCCTCGTCGATCTGCCTGGCCCCCTCCAGGCGGCCCACGGCCAAGAGGCATTGGCGGCTGACGATGCAATAGTCGCCAAAGTGGCGGCCCTCGAGGCCTCCCGTGAGCACCAGTTGGAAGAGGCGCGAGTGCACGTCGTGCTCTCCTCCAGAGGGGCTTGCGGCCCCTGGCGAAGGGGAGCCGCCGGGGCGCTGGTGGTCTTCGGCTGAGATCATCGCCCGCTCTTGGTCGATCGCGTAGCACAGTGCCGCCGGGCTGATCTCCTTGCCCGCGAACCTCCGCGGTGGGGGCAGCACGAGATGATGTGATTGGCCAAGAGATGTAGTTTTTTTCCAATGCCAACATGCATATATACAGATTCACCATGACCCATTCTTCCCCATCTACCATGCGGCAGAAAAGAGCAAGTCTGGCGTTGTCACTGTGCAAGTTCCGAATGTGCCGCTGTAGACGCACACCGAGCCAGGACAACAAACGATGGTGGGCTCGATGCACCCGTTGCCGGGAGCGCTGCATGTGAAGGAGGGCGACGGCGTGGGTGAGCGTGTGGGCGAAACCGAAGCGCCAAAGGAAGGACTCGCTGACGGTGTCGAGGTGGGCGAAGGCGTGATGCTTGGGGACGGACTTGGTGCGACGCAAATGCTAGCGCCACCAACGCCCTGCTCCTGACATAGATACGGTAGGCAGCATGGCACCACGGGCGGAAAGTTCAAACAGGACGCATTGAGCGGCGCGCAGTAGGGACTCGGCGACGCCGTCGGCGTGATGGACGGCGTGGGCGTGCGCGAAGAACCGAACGAAGGACTAGACGAGGGTGTTGGCGAGCGCGTTGGCGTGGCGGAAGGGCTGGGCAGGGCTCGGCACGTCAGCGTCACCCCGTTGAAATAGCATTCGCTGCCGGGACAGCAAGGGATGGCGCTACACGGCTGACCGACGGCTGTACACAGGCTTGGCGATGGAGTACGCGACGGGGTGGGACTGCGAGTCGGCGTGCCTGTCCAAATGAAAGCAACGTTAAAGGCTGTCGTCAGATCGCGTGTAGAGGCACGGGCTTCCAGATGCGTGGCTTTAGCGGCGTCGGTGAGTGTGTTTGGCACAGCAGTTGCAATATAAATATTCGCCTGCCGTAGAGGCAGCAGATGCAGTCGACGTTGAGTCGGCAGATGTAGTCGATGAGGGGGGAGGCGGTAGATGCAGTCGATGTGGGGGGGAGGCGGCAGATGCAGTAGATGTGGCAAGTGATGGTGGTGATGGTGGTGGTGAATGTAAGAAAGCGGAAAGTACACATACCTGATGGAGTGGGAGACCTTGAAACAGACATGGTCGACGTCACCGAAGGCGAAGGGCTCCGTGAAAGGCTGGGCGTGACTGAAATGGTTGGAGTGACTGAAGGCGAGGGACTCAGCGAAGTGCTAGGAGTGACGCTGGGCGTGACCGAGATGGTAGGGGTCACCGAGGGGGAAGGGCTCAGTGAGACACTGGGAGTGATGCTGGGCGTGACCGATATGGTCGGGGTCACTGATGGCGAAGGGCTCAGCGAGATACTGGGAGTGGTGCTGGGCGTGACCGAAATGGTCGGGGTCACCGAAGGCGAAGGACTCAGCGAGATACTGGGAGTGACGCTGGGCGTGACTGAGATGGTCGGGGTCACTGAAGGCGAAGGGCTCAGCGAGATGCTGGGAGTGACACTGGGCGTGACCGAAATGGTCGGGGTCACCGAAGGCGAGGGACTCAGCGAGATGCTGGGAGTGACGCTGGGCGTGACTGAGATGGTCGGAGTCACCGAGGGCGACGGACTCAGCGACGACGAAGGCGAAGGACTCGTTGTCGGGGCGATACTCGCCGTACCTGTAGCAATGCCATACACACACAACAAAGAGTTAGTAATCCTGTCACCGCGGCATCAAAGTGCAGTTGTAGTGAGTGTGCTGATGGTGGATGGATGCTGAAGTGGAGGCAGAGGTGGTTGTAGAGGCAGAGGAGGAGGCAGATGTAGATGTAGATGTAGATTTGACATGGAACGGATACACGCACAATGCTGTATTGCACAGATGGACGTAGAAGACACGGGGGGGAGCGGACTCACCAGAGGGGGAGACGTTGGGCGACAGTGAAGGGGTCGATGAAAGAGTGGCCAACGGTGAGGTGCTTGGTGTAGTTGAGGGTGCAAGGCTCGCAGATGGAGAGATGCTCGTCGTTCCGGTCGGACTCGGGGTTGGGTTGGAGGTGGATGACGCCGTCGGAGTGCTAGAGACCGTCGGGCTCGAAGAAGGGCTGGAACCCAAAGAAGGCGATGATGTCGAAGAGACAGAAGGGAAGGCCGTGGGCGACGGCGAGCGCGATGGGAATGGTGATACCAAGGCCGGCGAAGGAGACGGCGAGGCGCCCAGCGACGGCAAGGCTGATCCTGAAGGCGAGGGGAAGGGCGAGCGCGAGCCGGATGCTGACAGCGTGGGACTGGCGGAAGCCGAAAAGCCGGGAGATCGCGAGGGCGTCGCTGACCTGGACGGCGCTGCCGACGACGAGGGACTGCGCGAAGGGAACGGCGTGATGAAAGGCACCGACGGCGTGGCCGAAGCAAAACCAGGAGAAGGCGAGCCCGTATGCGAAGGAGAGCGGGAGATAACAGGAGACGCCGAGCGCATCCCAACGGGAGACCTGGAAGGCGAGCGCGAGGGGAACGTGCTGATGAGCGCCAAGCCACGGTTGAAGGCTTTAAGGGTGTCGTGCTGGCGCCACACGCCGGCGTCCCAAGCCCCGCGAGCCAGGCGGCACTCGCCGGCGGGATCGGAGAGGCGCAGGGCCAAGATGACGGCTGCCAACGCAGAATTCACCTTGTGCATGCTGGAGGCGCGTGCCTGCTCAACAGACAAGAGTCGCATGTTGAGAAGGGACGCTATCACCTCAGCGCGCACGCGAGCAGACTGTACGTCGAGCTCTTGGCTCGCTTGTTCGTGGTCGCTGTCGATGACGTCCACGGCGCGCCGCAGGACGTCGTACATGTCGCCGCAGGCGCCAAACTGCAACGCTTCGGAGGAAGGTGCGTTGGCCCGCAGGAGCGGCCACGGAGTGCCCTGCAGCGAGGAATGCTGCAGCCAGTGGTGCGGATCAAAGGGACCCTCGGCCATGGATGGTGCATGGGCGGCCGACGGGGTCGTGTGCACAGGCGTTGCTGCTGCTGGTGCTGTGGTTGTTGTTACGTTGTCGATCGGCTGGTGGTGGTAGAACCACACCGCCAACAGGACCAGGCCGGCCACGGCGGTCCGGTCGAACGGCGCCACGGTCGACGAGATCACGTTCCGGGCCACGCTGGCCAACGGCGCCGAGGTGGCCATCGCCTACGTGCTCTCGCCCGATTCGGCCTTCACCCAGCCGTGGGGCGAGATCGCGGTCACAGTGCCGCGCAACCACCTCAAGTACACCTTCAACGCCCGCCGGTGGCCCTTTGCCGGCGCGGCCCACCGCCTGCGGCTCGCGATGAGCCTGGCCTCCCACCCCCTGGTGGGCTCGGCCGACCGCGTCGACGACGCCGCGGCGGCCACGTCCAGCCTGAGCCTACACGTGGCCAACTCCACTGCTGACGTCAGCGTGGGCCTGTACGGCTTCGCCCTGGTCTACAGCGCGCAGGAGGCCGATGACTCGCTGACGGCGCCCACCGGCGCCCATCGCTCGTCCAACGTCACCGCGAGCCTGTCGGCCGACTTTGGCTCCATTCTGGTCGATTTCCCGTCGTTCGACGCCGCGACCGAGGTCCTGTCGTACGACCCGTCGTTCGGGG